ATAGGTAACATGTTAGAAAGTTACCTCAAAACAAAAAAGATATTGTAATCAACTATATTACAATTTGTTTTTTTGATTTGAATAAAATTTCTAAAAAATGGCTCATTTTCCAAAAATTACCTGGTTAGATTTCTTAAATTTTTTTATAATGGATAATATTTTATAATCAGAAAAGATTTTAATATTACTTGCACATCATTTAATGATAAAAAATATTTATTAGGTTCAAAATTCCTACCATTTTCTATTCATCATACAAATTTTAGCAAAATTTTAAAGTTTCTTACTTTCTGCAAAGTGAACAATAAAACAGTAGTTGATTATGTGAATTTTTGCAAAGAAGGGTTATTAGATAATGCCATTCTCAATGATTTCCTTGTTCATAAATATATTTAATTTGTGAAATAGCTTTATATTTATTATCAATAAAATAAAAATGTACTTTTTTTAGTTCTTGCTCTACAATGATCTGTTTAAGATGATTACCCTTGTTTTGTTATGAAAGGAATTTAAATGGATACTTCAACTGTCTAGATGCCATTAAAATATTCAAACAAAAAAATTGTTCAGATTTACAAATATTTGTTAGATGACAATCCAAAATAATTATGATTACTTGCTTTTTTTACATTAAACCTAAGAGAATGCAAAAAAAGAATTAAGTACATGAAAATGGATAGAATATATGATAATCCAAATAGTTAACAAAATTTGATTAAATAAATTTCTTCATATTTTTAGATTTTAAAATGGTGATATTTAGAGCATTTAAAAAAGAAGAAATAAATAATGAAGAAATTATCTTAATCTTTCTCTTGGTTTGTACTTTTGTTTTTATATAGATAATAAATTAAAAAACTTTTCAAAATTAACAACAAAAAGATGCTAGTAAATTGAGAATGATGTAATTAAATTTGAAAAGAATAATACAATTAACTACAGCTTATTATTTTGAAAGTGGTAGATATTTATCTAAAATCGATATTGCAAAATATAACTAGGGTTCCTTTTTTTTATTAAATATTTTCATATCCTATTTAATTAATTTAAATAAAATATTTTAAATAAATTACTTTAAAAATGATTGAAAAGAGGCTTATTTAATGGATACTTTTACAATTTGTCTTAATGAGGAGTGCTGAGATGTCAAAAATTTGTGTCTGTGGCCATGTTAGTAATCAAATTGATTGTGAATAATCTGGTTTTTGCATTTGGCAAGATGGATTTTGTATTTTAAATCCTGGTTCAATATACAATATTTAAATATGGAATTAGAATCTATGTAAGAATTTTGCAAAAGAGGACTGCATAGAATAAGACTAATGTGGTTTTCATTTTGGTTAATGTATAGATTTTGAAGATTGTACTATATTTGACAAAAACTAATGCTAAGATTCATCTTAGAGATGTGTTTCTGATGGAACAAAGTGTGTAGAAAAGTTAGAATGTAATAATTACAAAACTGAGATTGGATGTTAAAATAAAAACAAGATGGGTAAGTATTGTTTTTGGATTTATGGTATTGATTAAAAATGCATGGATGTAACAATTTGTGAAGAATTACCAATATTTTTGTCTAATCATAGTATGTGCAAAGAAGGTTTGGACGACTGCACTATACGTGATCAAGGATATGGATGTATGAAATAAAAGGAGTCATGCACTTAATATTAATAAGATTTTTAATGTGTTGAAAGTAGATCAAAAATAGGACACTGTTTTTGGGATGTTAAAAAGAGAAAATGTGTTGAAAAAGTATGTGAAAATATACCGTTTTCTTCAGATTATGAGTGTAAGTAATATTTAGGAGAATGTACATCAAATGGTATTCATTGTATAAAGAGGATGCAATGTAGTGATGTTTAAAATACATTTGGTTGTGTCACAGATGCTTAAGGAAATAAATGTGAATATCATAAAAATTAATGTTAAATAAAGAGCTGTAGTACTGCTCCTGATAACTATTAAAATTACCAAAAATGTTAAGATTACGATATATCTTTTGATTGTGTTACATCTGAAAATGGAGGATGTAAAATTAGACCTTAAACATGTGAAGGTTATGTGGCTGAGGCTGATTGTTATTCTAGAGAACAATAAAATTGCGAATGGTTTAATCATAAATGTGAATATAGATAATGTCATCATGCTCCAATGTATTATAATCATTCTGATTGTAAACAATATGGTAATTGTATAGGGAGGTTAAATGGAGGATGTTAATTGACACCTCAAATATGCGATTAAATTTTGGAAGAAGAATTTTGTGAATTTAATTATAATAGAGAAATGTGTTTTTGGTTAGATGGGAATTGTAAATTATTAGAATGTAATAAATTGAAATTACCAACCTATTCAAATCATAAAATATGCTAAATAGCAAGTCCATTTTGCACTTTTCATCTAGATTCTTAAGGTTGCGCAGATTATATCTGTGAAAATATTTTTGAAATAGATTATTGTTAAACTGATTCAAATGGAAGTGATTGTACTTTGAATTAAGGTTGTATAGAGAAAAAATGTTAGACTGCCCCTCAAAATTATAATACAAATTAAAAATGTGAAGAGTGGCTACCCGAATGCACAGTTAATGTATAAGTTCTATAAAATTTTAAAATATCGATTGGATGTACCAATAAAAACTATAATTGTGAAAATGCCGTTGAAGAACAATGCTATACTACACTTACAGGATTAAATTGTAAATGGGATATTGCCTAATAAAAATGTATTAATTAAGTCTGTGTTGATGCAAATCCTAATTTATATTAAACAAATGAAGATTGCTAAAAATTTTTAGTATCTAATGGTATTTGCATTATAAGCTCAAATGGCATTGGATGTTAAGAATGGCCAAATAGTTGCAGTTTATTGATAATTTAATAATAATGTGACTTAAATTTATAAAATGGAAAATAATGTTATTGGACTGGAAGTTCTTGTAAAATAAAAGAATGTTTAGATGCTTCCATAATTATTTATACCAATAATATTGAATGCAACTCTTGGTTAGATTATTGTATTTTTAATCCAATTTTGGGTGGATGCATGGATCGACCTTCACCAATGAGTTGTTCATCTTCTCCAAATAATAGTATGTATGATACTCACTAAGAGTGTTTTGCATGGAATCCTTAATGCACTGTTATTTCTTCCTTTAATTCTGAAGGATGTGAAGAAAAGTAGATAAACTGTAGTCAATTCATTAGACGAAGGAATTGTAAGACTACTTTGAATGGTTAAAAATGTTATTGGGATGATAAATAATAAAAATGCGTAAATGATAATAATGACAATACTTGTGATAAGAGAATAAGAGAATTTATGGAGATTTATCTCATTAAGATTGTGAAGACTTCTCATCCAAGTGTACACTAAAGAACATTAGTAGATCATGCTTAGTACTTTCAGAATATTGTAATTATTTTTATGAATAATAATGTGTTATTAATAAATATCATTAACCTTGTAAATGGGATTTATTAAATTAAATATGTAAAAATGTTGACTGCAGGGATAATTAAACTGCTTAAACTGAAGCTGAATGTTTAAAGTTCAAGAAATATAATGAATGTCAATTAAGAATTAATATTAATGGAACATATGGACCTGGTTGTGAGTTAAGACCCTCCGAATGTATATCTGTTACAAATTCTATCAAATGTAATTTAACTTTAACAATAAATAATGATCGATGTTATTTTTTTAACTCTTAATGTAGAATGATACAACCATAAAATTGTGAATAAATTACAGATAGTTTAAGCAATGAACTTTGTCAATTATACAATTCAAATTGTGTTCTCTAATAAACTGGATAAGGATGCTATTCTATTAATCAATGCTCAGATTTATCTCATAATGTTTGTAATTAGGCAATCATGAAATTTAATAATAAGTGTAATTATTATGGTGTTTGTAATTCTGATAATTAATGTAGCTAAAAACCTAATAGTTATTTTGGTTGTGGTGGGAGGAAAACAGCAAAAGGATAATTATGTATATTATAAGCTTATTTTTATTCAGATTACTATAATAGTACAACAGGCTACTATGAATATCGTTGCGAAAATTATTTTAATTCCACTTCTTTATCGACTTCTTCATCATCAATTTCTGATAGGTAGAAATTATGTTAAAATTATTCATCATCATACGGATATGATACAAGTTAATAATGTGTGACAATTTCTTTCTGTAATCAACAAAATGGTGATTTTTAACTTTGTAATTCCTCAATTACAACATCATAGTAGCAATGTGGATATAACTTTTTGTCTAATACTTGTGTAACTAGAACTTGCGAACTTTTAACATATACAAATTATGCTATTATTACAGATGAAATTTGTTATTTATGGTTATATAATTGTATACTAGGCACCACTGGTTGTAAGACTTACACAAATGATTGCAACACTATTAAATTAATTTAACAATGCTATTCATATTCATGTTTTTGGTAAGACGGTAAATGTGTAAGTTAAATTAATTGCCAATTAAATACAACTGCAATTTCAAATCGTGAATGCTTATTAACAAATGTATAATTTTGTAGATTAAATTATACTAAAGGTTAAGGATGTTCTTTTTTTTCTTGCGAAGTTATCAAAAATTAAACAATATGTAATTCAACTACCCTTGTAGATGGATAAAATTGTATTTGGACAACATCATGTTAAAAGAAATTATGTTCACAATATACGACATAACTGGACTGTGAGAATAGTTATGGTTACCTTTCTTAAGTAGTAACTTAATGTTATTGGTGTGGATTAAATACTACTTCATGTTCTAATTAAAAATATTGTAGTTCAAGTAGCATAATTTCACCTATTTCACACCAAGATTGCAATAATCAAAATATCTTATCCACAATCAATTTTTCTATGAGCACTAAATGCATTATTAAAAAATTATTCTGCTCAGAATATAAGTATTAAGATGCATGTGTTAGAACAATAGATGGTTTAGAGTGTTATTGGGACAATTCTGTTTGTAGAAATATCTGTGAAATGATGTATATGTTCCCATTCTAACCCACAGATTGTTATAAAATGAGTCCTTATTGTTAGTTGAATTCACTTAATGGGTGTCAGTTCCCAAGTTGTGCTTTGCTTTCATAAGAAGATTGTATTATTTATGCTTCCAAATGTTTTTGGGATGGCTCTGAATGTTAAACTGTTGATGTTTGTAATAAATATCTAACTAGTGAATTATGTTTAAATACCAATAATTCATAAGATATACCTTGTTTTTGGGATGGTATATAATGCACTGAAAAAACCTGTTAGAATAAAGAAAGTCCTTCTTAAAGTAAAGCAGAATGCCATGATTGGCTTCGTAATTGTTAGTTGGATAGTTTTAACAATTCATGTGTTGAAGAATGTACTTCAGCAGATGAATCGTATATAACACATACATAATGTGAATCATACAATTCAAATAAAAGTTGTACTGTTAAACTTGATATAATTTAGTGTGTAGATTTACTAGCATCCTGTTCTTTAGCAAAAAAAACCTAATGTTATGTAGATAAGTATGGAAACAGATGCTACTTTTCGGTATCACTTAATTAATGTATTAATTTAACGTGTTCTAATTTGGATGAATCTTATAATACACATTAAAAATGTAATTTAGAATTAAAAAATTGTACAGTAAATTAGACACTGAATGGATGTTAAATTTTAGATGAATGTACCAATTATTTAATCTAAGAATAATGTAAGATAAATTCATAAAATGTTGAATGTGAATGGATAATGAGTGAAAATAGATGTACAAAAAAGGAATGTTCAACAGCATAATTAATTAATTACACAGCATATGGTTGTCAATAATATTTTGGTAATTCATGTTCAATAAATAAAAATTTAGATAAATGTGAAATTGCTTAAAAATATTGTTTGGGTTACTCGTATGAACAATGTATAAGTGATGGATAAAAAAATTTAAGTGGAATAAGTTGTTTTTGGAATGAGGAGAGGAGAACTTGTTTGGAAAAAATATGTATCAATGGTCCTTCAGTTGCAATCTCTCATATTGAATGTATGTCGTACCTTTCCACATGTTAAAAAGGTGGTTGTCGTTTTAAAACGTGTTTTGATTATAACTATGCTTTAGATTAGGCTTGTGCTTCAATATTTGAAGACAAGAGATGTGCAACAAATGGTTATAGATGTGTTTTTAGATAGAATTGTGAAGATGTTAATATTATTGATGCATGTACTTTTGATATAAATTTAAATCCTTGTGTTTGGATTGATGATAAATGTTTTACTAAAACTTGTTAAACTGCATTAATTTCCATTAATAATTATGAAGATTGCAATTCATATTTATCATATTGTACAGTTAAATAAGATGGAGGATGTACTAAAAAGTAACATTGTTAAGATTATTAATTTAAAGAAGCTTGTTATGTAGATAGTGATTATGGAGAATGTTTTTGGGATAATTACCTAAATGAATGTTTTTCTAATTCATGTATTGATTTCTGTGGCAATGGTATTGTAATGAGTAAAGATGAATAATGTGATGATGGTAATTATTTACCATATGATGGTTGCTATAAATGTTAATTTTAATGTCCACAAGGATGTACTGTTTGTAATGGTAATTTATGTTAAGAATGTGAAACATATGGATGGGTGTAAATTAATGGTATTTGTAAATCAGTTTGTGGAGATGGTTATGTTGTAGGAAATGAATTTTGTGATGATGGCAATAATATTGAATTTGATGGATGTTATTTGTGTTCTTATTCATGTCATTAGATGTGTCTAGATTGTTTCTAAGGTTAATGTATTTTATGTGAATAAGGATATGTGGAAAATGGATCATAATGTCATTCTATTTGTGGAGATGGATATAATGTCTAATTATTGGAATAATGTGATGATGGAAATTTAATTAATAATGATGGATGCAATGATAAATGTATGGTTGAATAGAATTGGAAATGTTACGAAGAAAATCATATTAGTAATTGTAAATATAGTATACTTCCTAAAATTTAACTTAAAAAAATTTCTAAAATAGATACAGGGATACAAGAATTCAAACTATCATTTTCTGAACCTGTTTATTTGAATAGAAAAGGTATCACTGAAGAATAATTTATACAAAATGATTGTTATTGAAATTCTAAGCTAACAAACTATCTTATATGATATTGAAATCAAACCTATTTTGGCTATATCTAACTAAATAGCTGATGTTTCTTATAAAATATTAGTCGATTTTAAAAGTAGCATGTCTAATACTGTTTTAAAAGTTAACATTCTATGCGACAACATTGTTAATTATGAAAATAACACCTTATTCTAACAAGAAGCAAAATTGGACTTAAAACCAGCTTATAAAATTTCTGATACACAAGAATCTTATATTTTAAAAGCTGTAAAAATGAGTAAAATTTTATAATATATTATCTTTGTTGTTGTTGGAATAGCCTTTTTTAGTGGAAATTTAGAAATTTTATGGAATCTTCTTGATATGTTTCAATAATTATCGTACATGAAATATCACAATATTCTATTCCCATAAATTTTATTAATCTATTTTGAAATATTTAATATTGGTTCATTAAGTCCAATCATCGATAACTTTTAAATAGATTAATTTATAGAAAATTATTTTGATTTCCAATATCCATTAATTTAGACTAAATGGAAATTTGAGGAATACTAAATCAACTGTTAGTTTTTGTAAAATTTTTCATCACTAATTACTATGTTTATTTTTGGATTTGCATACTTCCTATTCTCTTGCTTCCTTTATAAGTTATTAAACCTTACTAAGTATTATAATTTGCCATCAATGGTTAATAAATAAAAATTCCCATTCTTTTTTAAAGTGGCTAAATCTATGTTTTCAATTTAAAGGTTTGCAAGAAAATATTATTAATATTTTATTTACTCTGGATTAATAAGAATATATTCTTCTAACTTTTATGAATTGATTTTTGCATCTTTATTGTAAATAACCAACTTTAATACAGACAACACTTAAAATACAATCATCTCAAATATATCTCTAGGCATATTGATATTTAATTTATTCTTCTCATTTTTCATTTATTTCTATCTTCAAAAAAAGTCTAAAGTTAGTAAAAACTTAAAAGTATTAGTTGAGGGAATCAATTATAAAGCCCATCGAACATCTAAATAGTACTTTATTATATAGTTAATGAAAAAGACCTTATTCATGATAAATTTAGTTGCATTCTAAGGTCTTGGTGCCATTTAGAGTATAATTACAGCTTGTTTATCAGGAGTATTCTCATGCTATATTTACATTTCTAGACCTTTTGAAAACAAATTCGAAAATATCAAGTTGTTAATAATAGAAATATTAATTATTTTGAATGCGATTATTTTTTCTATATATGAAATTATCAAATTTGATCCTGACAAGCTTACAGCAGAAATTTTTGGCTGGATTAATGTAAGCCTTTTCACCTTGATTCTTATATCAACCTTAATCATCGATATTTACCAATAACTAAGAAAATATTCAAATTTAATAATTGCTAAAGTAAAAACCTGTCTAAATATCCCTAAGAAGACAATATAATAGCCAATAATAATAAATTGGAATTATTGAATGTTATCATGATTATTTTACCATAATTTTATTTTATCAATATGTTCTAGATAAAATACTTTAAATTAAATTAATTGTATTTTAACTATCCAAAATTTAACATTTTATTTGATTAAGTTTCTTTTTTCAAAATAATGATTCGTGATTTAATTAATATTTTATCTGGCCCTCGAAATATTTACCTTGCAGCTTTAAGATATAATAAATCGAAAGAATACAATATTTTACTTGCATAAACCATAAAATTTATTTAGACTTTATAGATAGACCATTTCCAATTTGAAAATTCTATCGATAAATATTATAAAATATTGTAATTTACTGATGATCACCCAAATTTATGAATTAATAGTATTCAAAATTTTATGAATTCATCCATTGGTTACCAATTTTAGTTTCAAATTTTTCTTAAACTTTCAGTTTTGTTTATAATTTGATAAAACATATATTAGAAATATAAATAATTTATGAATACTTAATAAAATAATTTAACTAATTATAGAGGTGACCTAAAAATGATATAAATACTGAAGTTTAACTGATTTTGGTAACTAGTCCAAAAAAAAAATTATAGTTCCAAGAATTTAGATTTATTTATCAATTTTTACTGATTTTATTGATTATAATTAAAATTATCCCAAAAAATTAAAAAATCGTTCATCCTTTACATTATCACAAACATGCTTAATATTGCAATTTAATACTTTCATAATATATTTTTATTTGAAGATATAAAACAATAATTATTTAGTGAAAAAAAGATATTAATTTGTCCTTAAAATAGGTAGAACAATTTCAATTTAATAAATGACTAGAACAATGCCATCAAAATTATTAATATTATGCTGTCTTAGTACCAATCCAATAAGTATTTGTTTTTTCTTTATTGAATAAATAATGCTATCAAATTGAATACAATTGAGAGAGGAAAGTATCATTAAAGGTTCATATAAATTGATTATTGGAAAGTGTTGGAAAATTTTTCGAATATTTTATGGAAAATTTGGAATTTCTTTATTATCTTCTATTATAACAACAGTAATATCAGAAAGTGGTTTAGAAATAAATAATAATTAGAGTCTTAAGAAGATAATGGATATTATTTTAATATTTAATATAATTATAAATAGTTTGATTAATTACGAATTCATTATTCAAGATTAACTATAAATTACTGACTGTTATCTTGGTAAATGTTAAGGTTTAAAGCTTTCTTGTTCCTTTCTAATTACATTTTTAATTTTCATGGATTTTATTGAATCTTCTTGAAATTAAAAAGGTCTTAATTTTATATTTTTTATATATAAAAAGAAAACAAGAAGCATATTAGATTATCTTGAAAAGCAAAACATTTTAACTAAAATTATATGCATTAATTCTAACTTTTCATTATTAAATGTAAAATAAAATTAGAAATTGTGTATAATTAATTTAATTCTTCTACCATTCAATAATATTGAATAAAATATATTTAGAGTTTTTCCAAAAATTGCAGGATTAATTCTTCTACTGGAATTTATAGCTCGCTTAAACATTAACAATGTTAATCAATTTTATGTTTTATGATTTGATAATCTCTAAAATATAGATATTATTAATTAATAAAATAGAAAAATAACATTAAATAAATAATGATTGACCTCTATTATTTATCATATTCAATTTCTTAATTAATATATTTTTTACCCCATGTATTAGTTTTTACTTTCCAATAAAAAACTATTAAAAGCAACAGTATTATTGAAAGCAGAATATAAATCCACCTTCGATGTTATTTCTCTACTTGAGGTAAATTGAATGAATATTATAAGTACCATTTGAAAAAGAGTTCTAACAAAAAATAGAAACATTAATTTTCTTTTTATTCTACTTATAATTGCAGGTTATATTCCAAGTACTTATATAATAATTATTGATTGTGTTATTTTGAAAGTATAAAAATGTCCCTGTTTGCTATTTCTTGTTTACAATTATAGCATATTCATTCGATGTTGTATTAAATGAGCCATACATCAAAATAGGTTCAAGCACACTATTTTTGGGGTTTAAGAAGTAAGTTCCAACAATAAATTCAGTTTAATTAACTTCTATTTAAATCTAATAGGAATAATTGGTTAAGATTAAATTCAAAAGATTCAGACTATGAATTTCTGGTAAGAAAATTAGAATTTATCTAATTCTAGATATCTAAGAATGTAATAAATTTGATTTGAAGTATTATAAGAATTAAGAGATATGATTAGAAACATTAATATGAACATGAGGTTATTTTCTGATATTAAAATCATAGAATTAGGATAATTTTTGGAAACTAAAACTATTTTCAAATTAATTCTTCAATATTTTTTTAGAGATTTGGGCATAATTGAATTTTAAGGATCAAGCTTTTTGCATAAAAGTGTAATAATAAATGTTAGCTATATTTTACCAAACCAAAAAATTTTGCATTATTTTTTGCAAAGTAAGAGAATATTGATTTATGAAAATTTTTAATATTTTTGAATATAAATAAAAAATTAAAAAAACTCCGAAAAGGCGGATTTGAACCACCGACCTGGGGATAACTGAATTAACACTACAGTCCCTCGCTCTACCAACTGAGCTATTTTCGGATGTTAATATTGATGAAATACAATCCATATTAAGTCCTTTTTCATTAAAAAATGAATTTAGATTTTCGTAGACAGACAATTTTGATGTACTAATCTTTTTGTTGTAGAATTTTTTATTTGAAATTAACTTTTCTCTCTAGCTTTAACCGACAAACCAATTATAAAAAGAGGCCTTAATCATCATGATAAAGTATATTTAAAATGAAATATCCTACTTTTATTACTTTCTAATCTCAATACAAATATTATTTAGTCAAGAGTGATAATTATAGTTATGTATTATTGATAATTAAATACTTTATTTATGTGCATAATCATTGTGAAAAATAAAAATGCTCTGATTTAATTTGAGTTTAGTATAACTATAATCTGAATTTATTACTAATAGGATACAATACAATTATTTTTAATTAGTTTTAGCGGAAAAATAAATATCTTTATATAATTAATTATATAAAGATATTTAGATTGAAATGGGCTGTTTGCTTGAAAAAATATAGAAATATAAATAGAAAAAATTGAATAAAATTGTATTAGTACAACAACCTTTTGCTGATAATGAAGTTTAAACATAGAAAAAGGGGCCCTAAATTGTCATTCATAAGGTATGATATTTCATAAAATTCAAGGATATTATTGCACAAGCAAATGAATAAAGAATTGCACAATTGTAAAAATAAAACCATTCCAGAAATTATCAGATAGAATAACAGAACCAATAATAGAGGCAATAACAGAGGCAATAACATATTCTTTTTTAAAATGAAATATAACCAGAAATATAAGAACCCTAAATTATCATTCCTGTGGTACGATATTTTCATAAAATTCAAGTAAACTATAGCATAAGCAAACGAATAAAGAATTGTAGAAATGTAAAAGAAAAACTGTTCCAGAAATTATCAGATAGAATAATATGAGAGATAATAAAAATTAAAAAAATGTGAAGAATATGAAATGAAAAACAGAGGAAGAGGAACTTATTTTTTAAGATGGTCAATCAATAATTGATTTTAATTTATTTATTTAAAATCTCTGCGACATTCTATTCAAATTATTTGAAAAAAAAAATTTCTTCATATTTTAAAATTTAGAAGATTGTTTATAAATGATTTTCACTATATCTTGATTTAAACTAATTTACATAAATTCTAATTGTCTTCGCTTAAATTCAATTGAAACATTTGGAGCACTATCATGCATTCTAATTTCTAATTCTACTTGACTTTAAAAACTATTAAATAAAAAAATAAATTTTTTAATAATCTAATAAGTGAGTGGAGCTTAAATTCTTTTATTTTTCTAAAAGCTTGATTATAATTATTTTTATTAAACAATCCTTATTCATTAATTTTATAAGTAATTTAATTAAAAGAGAATATCAGTCAAAAAAATGAAAGCGATAAATTTAGCTTTAATATATAATATTAGTGATATGAATATAATTATTTTATTTTGAATATATTGATTTCAATTTAAATATATATAACTTAAATTGAAAAAATCAAGATTTTAAGAATGAAAAATTAAATAATATGCAAAAACTTAAAAGGGGTTGTTTAAGTTTTTAGGTTAAAATAATAGGTTTTAAAGTGATATGTATTCCAAAATTTTTGATAAGCTAAGTAAAAGCTGGTGGATTTATTAATTCTTTAACAAGAAAGTTTTATCAGTTAATTACTCAGCAATATCAATATTTTTATAATTATTTAAGCAAACTGAAGTATTTAAAATCAGAATTCTTTTTTAGTCATTTTACAAATTGAGATTATATTAAAATTTTTAACGTACACATATGAGAGAACAAAGTTAAAATAATTAAATATTTCCTACATTATGGTAAATTATATTATTTTTTTTAAATCTAAGAAAGTTTATTTAAATTATAAATTAATATGCAAATAAAATTTGAACATTAGGATTAAATAGAATACTCTTTAATTTAAAATTGATTTTTATCGTTTAATTCATTTTTGAGGCTTTATTTGAAATGTTATTTTTGTAACTACAAGAAAAAAAAATAAATGATTTTGATTTATTTAATTTTAGATTCCAATCTCAATTCTCATTTTCAAAATTTTTAATAAATTTATCTGCATAAGCTCTTATTTCAACTTGCTTTTAATTGCAACTTCTTACTTTTTGGCCCTAACACTAAGATGACTATGAAGTCTTTTAAAGAAATCGACTTCATTATAATTTATTATATTTTTATCTTTTAGAATTTAATATAGCTTCCATTTTTCTTGAAATTTTTTTTTAATTCACTCCAATTTAAATTATCTTGCAAACCATTCAAGAAATTAGATTTATTAAAATTTTTGGATTACCTCCAAATATCAACATTATTTATTATTTCTTCATAAAAATTTATTTTTTTTTTTTTAAATACTCAGAATTTTAACAATTTTTACTCATTTAGTAATGTTTTTCATTAAAAATTAGAGAAAATTGACATAAAATTATATCTGAGCATAAATTGGTAAATTTGTAAAGTTCCTGTCAATTTTATGATTAAAAATTTCTTTGTCCTAATTTTTATTTTTTTTATGTTTTCTTTATTGAATGTCATTCTAGAATTTAATTTCTTATTAAAAATTCTTATTTTATGAATTAATATAATTTTAAATGAGCTTTTGTATATAAAATTATGATTTTACATTAAGCATTTGTTTAAAATTAGGATAGAAAATTATTTGAGAACTTTTAGATTAATAATTTAAAAGCAAAAGCTTTCACCAAAATTATATATTACTGCTTAGGTATCAAATTGTTTAAATTATAAAGAATTATAATCAGAATACATTTAATTTACATTTCAATTCATAATAATTTTCGATAATCTTTCAAAAAGTTTATTTTATAATATCAATATTTTATCTAGCAATTTTCAACCAATATTTGCTTTCAGCTTTTCTTCCACAAAAAAGTAAAGAATTAGCTAAATTATTTTCAAATAACTTACCTAAGTTTCTCATATACATGATTTTTGGTTCGATGGATTATGCTTTTTAAAAGAATTAGATTGCATCAGCATTTCTATTCAAATTTACTAATGTTAATCCTAATAAGAAATTTTAAACATTAATTTACCCTTTTAATTATAGGCTTAAGAATTTTTTGGATTGATGATTACACATTTATCAAAACATTCCATAGCTTTTAATAATTTATTTAATTTGATTAATACTAGGCCTAAAAATAATTATTCAAAAATTTCCTTACCTTTTTAATAGTAGGCATAATCATTATTTTAATTGATTGCAATAGCTTACTCTAAACATGCTAGCGCTTTCCCATTTTAGTTTAAGCCAATTAGAGCTAGATCTAAAAGAAAATTTATACAAACTCCTTTATTGCAATGTAAAAAGCTTATCTTTGGGTTCAATTGAATAGCTTAGTTAAAACAATTTAAAGCTTCTTTATATTAATTTAATCGATTTAAAGCTACACCTTTTAGATTTTAAGGTAAGATATTTTATGGTTCCTTTTCAATAACTTTGTTAAAACATGTTACAGCTTCCAGAAGTCTATTCATTTACATTAAAGCTTTTCCTAAATAATTATTAATATGATATACCCTTTTATAAAATAGCTTTGCAATCTTTTTGCAGCATAGCTTAATCAAAACACATTATTGCTTCTTAGTATCTTTTTAATTAATATAGAGATAAGCCTAAATAAATTTTAATATATTTATTTTTACCTTTGTTATAAACAGCTAAGGGGTCAAATTTTTCAATTATTATCACCACATTAAAATATGATATTGCTTCCTCATATCTTTCTAATTTATTTAATAATAGGCCTAAACATAATATAAATTATTTACCTTTGTAAAAATAAGAATAACTATCAGATGGATTTATTTTTATTGCTCTATCAAAACAATTTATTGCTTCCAAATTGTTGTTTAATAAAAATAGGGCTAAACCTTTCAGATATTGAAATACTTAATTTACCTTTTTGATGATGATATTCCCAATTATTTGGCAATAAATCAATGGCTTTGTTAAAATATTCTATGGCCTCCTGATATTTATTTTATTGAAATAAAGCAACACCTTTTAATTTTTAAAAAATCCTACCTTCATGATAATAATACTAGGTTTGCTGTAACAAATCATTTGTCTTCCCATCCAAATCTAAGTATTCTTAAATATTAAGAAATAATCAGTTACCATGTTATATTTTGTCTTAAATATGATTTTCATTAATCCTTCTTAGAATACCTTCATTTTATTCACCTTGATCACAAATTACATTATATACTTTGAATATGATTCTCTGATATTTACATTAATGTTTCTATTATTTTTGAGACCTGAGTGTCGTTTAAATTATCCATATTTTTTAAAATTCTAATATTATTTATAATTTTTTTTTCTGAATAAATTATTTTTCTATCTAATTTATTACAAAAAATAAACTCAATTTTTATGGAATACATATTTTTAGAAAAGCATGATACTATTTATAATTTAAAAGCTGCCTTATAGAAACCTGCTATTATTTAAGTTATTTTACAACAACAAGATAAAATAAATAGAGAAACTGGGCTATTTATTTATTTTTTTTATTCATTATCAATTAATTAGTTTAATTATTTAATTAGCCTGCTATTAGAGATTAATTTAAATAAAGAATATGACTCATTTTCTAATCTAACCTTAATTCTAATATTTGAAATTACTTTTTCTTCGATGTTTAAGCTACGAAAGAATTCATTCCACAAAAAGTTTTTGCTCTTTGTATATTTATGAATTAAGGATGACTTAAACAATTGGTTGTTAATGCTTGAAAGAACAGTGGAGTAATTTCTCTTTTCTATCATTTTATTACTAAATTTTTACAACTTAATATGATTAATATCTTTCATTTAGAATATGTATATTAACAAAATATAAGTATCTTTATTAATTACTTTAATAAGATAATTAGGAAGCAACCTTTCAATTCAGTTATCCTAATTATGGTGTATATTTTAACTTTAAAAAACTTTATTAATAAATATTTGGTTCTAAATTATAATATCATATTTAATAAAATTGTTATTGAATTTATATGAATTCAAATAGAAATAAAATTATCTATTGTTATAAGATTAAAGAATATGTAATAGGATTAAATTCATAATGTTTTTAGTATAAAATCTTTAATTTGTTTTTATTATCAATCATTTTTATCAATTCCCAGTATATTTAATTTATCTTCAAGTTTTGAATAACGCTACTGTTATTAATTTAATTTTAATAATATTCAAATAAATTATGTTTGATATAAAATGTTTTAATATAAATAAAAAAAGATAGAAATATAAATATTTTAGCTTTTGTAAATCATATTTCGATAAATTAAAATGAAACTATAAATAAAAAAATTTTTAATATTTTAAAAATCAATTTATAGTTTATTTTGCTTTTGGTTGTCTTAAAATTAAATAATTTATCATTATATTAATTGGTTCTAGAAAGATATTAAAATACTACTGATCATAAGAAATAATAATTTATTAAGCCTAAAATAACATTTTTTCAGCTTGAAATTGATAATTATAATTCTAATTTTTAAATTTGAAAAATTATTTTAAAATTATATCTATGAGAATGCAAACGCAGAAGATATCTTTTGTAAAATATTTTTATGAAAGTAGATGAAAATCTATTAAATTCTATATATAGCATTTTAATTTTTTATTAATAATATCTGTATGATTAGATAATTATTTAAAATTATTATTGTTTCAAGATGACGATAAAACAATTATCTTATATTATTTCAATATTTGTTTTAAAAGAATAATATAAAAATTTTATCATGCTCCTTCTTCATAAAACTTGACGAGAATCTCGAGGTAATTCTAATTTTTTTAGGCAAAATGTTAAATATCTTGCCCACTTAAACTTTGATGAGAATTTAATTAAATAGAATTAAAGCCTTTAGAAATAAAAAACTATGGTAGTTTTGAAAATAAATCTATTTTCAGTACATTTGTAAATGTAAATTTCAAATCTTATAAGGCTATCTTTTTATTTAAATCCTATGTATGATTGTATTGATACCATTATAATAAACTTATCCAAACTCAAAAAAATAAATTTAATTCTTTCATATTCTTGATTCATTAAAAGATTGTTTCTCAAAGTTCTTTATTTTTGAATTTAATTTTATAATTCTATAAAATAAATGCCGATAGAATTAAGTTTAGATATTAATATTTAAAAATTTAATTATATAGTATAAAAATATTCAAATTAAAATATTAATATCTAAAAATAATCATTTTTCTTTGCATACACGTATTTGAATTTGTCTTGAACTACTATCCCAAGTAACAAGATAATTTCCATCTTCGCTTAATTACCCATAATTGTCACAACTTGCAAATTCAATTAACTACTCAATTTTAATTTCATAATTTTCTTTCATTCTCATTAAATTAATACTTTTTCCATTTTTATTCACTATAAGCTACTTTAGCTTATTATATTATATTGGAAAGAACCTACTATCATCACATGAGCCACATGATACAGCAAAATCTTATTTTTTCAGATACAAATTCATATTAATATCAAGTTCATATATTTATATTTTTTCTTGGAGATAAGGTTGGAATATAAATTATTAATCATTAATGAAATGTAATCGAAGGCCATATTAATCTATTTGAATCTTTTATATAATACACCATTTTTTATGAAAACTAGTCTTTTCTATTACAAATATTAATTTATCTTTTGAACAAGAAATAAGTTTATTCTCTTGTTCATTTAAACTTAATGAAAATACTTCATTCAAATGGTCAGTGATTACTTATTGAAACTGAAATTAATTCTGTTTCTCCCAAAATCTAATTGTTTTATCAGCACTACCAGATATTATAAGATTATCATCTTAATTCAAAACTAAACAGGAAATCCAATCTAAATGTCCATCTAATTTTTATGAGTAAGTCCATTAATTATTTTCATTCGGTTACCATATAATTATGATCTAATCACCACTACCAGATATAAAATGATTTGTTTTTTTCATAAAATTTAATGTACTAATATCCCTTTTATGCTCATTTAATAGTTAAATTTGATTTAACTTTCCTTTTTCATGTTCAAATACTTTAATTTTTTATCTACAACCAACTAAAATAAATGACCCATTGTTATTAAGAGCAATTGCATAACACCTTTCATCTTGTTATACTGTATTACTTCTTAAAAGTTTAAACCTTATATTTTTTACACTTTAATATAAATATTAATTATGTTATTTTTATGATTATGATTGTATTTTTGGTTCTATAATTGAATTTTATAATAAATTTTAGTTAATACCTTATATTTAATTTTTTAATTAATATGCAAATTATTGAATTTAATTGGACGATGAGATAAATTATTTAAGTAATAATTGCTCAAAATTTTCAATTTAACATAAACCTTTTATTAATTGATTCATTTTCGTGAGATCTAATTCAGTTAAAAATTCTTAATTAATATTGAGATAAGGATTAAAAAACTTTTTAACGCTTTCAAGAGCTTTATCAAATTATGAAATGATCACTTAAACTTCTTTAATACATACCATTCGTGATTAAATCCATTCATTTAACAACTCTTGAGGTATCAATTTATTCAAATGTAGAGAATGAATAGGTAAACAGAAATTACAATATGGTTTTTATTATTAGCATTATGGATCAGAACAAACTCCTATTATTTATAAATTTCGGTGTTCAGCTTAGGTACATCTAATTTACATTATCTTTATTTCTCAATTTTATTATTTTTTATAATTAATATAAGAATCAAATATGTTGATAACTCATATATTCTATTTATTTAGACATAAAAAATCACAGTTAAAAATATATTAGTAATTCTAAAGTGGTAAAAAATAAAACCTTTTCCCTTAATTATCCTAATTTATATTGTTTGAAATAATTATTAAAAAATTAGAATAATATAAATTATCTAATCATTATCATATTGATAATAAATTAATAATAAAATATTAATTATTTAACTTCTTTTTCTAGTAGTAATATGAAAATTCTTTGATAAATTATTTATTAAAATTATCCTAGTATAAGTAACAAGCTTTTATAAATTAATAATTAAGATTGTACAAAAAGTAATGTTTGAGAAAAAAGGAAATGAATTTCAATCCTAATAATGTAGTGCTAATCAAATAAAAATTATAGTATTGCAAAATATATAGAAAGTTCTATAAACAAATGTTATCATTAATTAAATCTTTAGATTTTCTCAAAGATTTTTTGATGATAATTATAATGTAAAATAGCAGGATAATTTCTTTATTAAACTTTACAATAGAAATTCCGCTTATTAGTAATTTGTAGAAATGGTTTACAAAGGCAAGAGGGATCATAACCTATTAAAAAAGACTTTCTACTAATATCTTTTTTATTGTTTAGTTTCTTAATATATCTGAACTGTTTTATTATTTTTTATAAAAGTTAAACTTAAATTTGGAGAAATCAAGTCAAGTTAAAGTTCCCTATTAAGATTGAATTAAAAGACTAACTTAAAACTTATTACTATGAGAAATAATAATAATGAGGCTAAGCATATTACTATGCCAAGTAGTACAATGATAAGACAAATCTAACCATAACTACTCTAATTTATATAATAGTTTCAGATAAATGAGCAAAAAGTCTTTCCTTTTTCCCATTTAATAATGCTAATGCGAAATTATAAATATCGCCCTCGATTTTAACAATCTATTAAATTGCATAGTCCTGAAGGCTTAAATAAATTATAAAATAAAGTGATCATTTAAATTAAAGTTAAGTATGATGTTGTTGGTGTTTTAAAAATGAAATTTTCTGTAATTAATAAGCTTTATTATTTTAAATTAATTTAATTAAAAACGACTTTTATATGTTTTCAATATTTAACTATGGATAATATCTAATTAAATATTTAGAATTATGAGAATAACTTCTTTTTTATATTTATTATACCTAGCTGTTGAATTATCAAAATGTTGGAGCATTTACATGCTGCCAAGGAATTACCCATAAGAAATTTACTAAATAACTTATGATGAACATTTGAAAATATATCAGAATGGTTTTGGTGTTTGGAGCAGATATACACCTTTAAGTAATATTTAATAAATTGGTGAAATTGGAATACTTGATAGCAATTGCTTTAATTTGTTTAATATAAAAGATAGTGTTACTAATGAATTACATTTTGTGTAATACGAATGTATTAATTTTGAGACTTAATCAATCAAGAAATATTTTTAATTTTTAAGTCATGATAGAAATAGTTTTAAAGAAGAAATATTAATCAATGATACCTCTTATGAATCTACGTGGTATTTTTAGGGAATATTAAAGATTCCTCAAGAAAATATAATATATATAGTATTATATAAATAATAGAATGAGATTTTTGCTAAATAAATTTAATTTGAATTTTTATTTGAAGAAAATAATTATAATATAGTAATTGGAGGTGACTTGATAGTAAGTCAGAATTCACCACTATATACTTTAGAAAATAGATTACTTTCGTTTTTTCCAGGAGACACTGACTATTTATTTTCTGGAATCTTTTTAAAATCTGAATATTACTTTAGTATAATTGAAGAATATTAAAATGATGAATGTGATTGTAGAAGTAATGAAATAGAAAGAATAGAGGATGTTTAAATAGAAAAAAAAGGATTATATGAGTTTATATCTCGAGAACCTAATTGTTATGAATTTTTATTATCAGGTTGGATTAAAATTTAAGAAATTATTTAAATGGATGAAGAATTATATTATTAATTAATAAGACTATCAGCTAATTTTCAAGATTCTCCATTGGTTGATGCAAATTTGTGTGCATTTTAATTATTTTACAAGTTATCTTAATAAAGAAATTAAATAATAATAACAACGTATAGTTATACTTTTCCATCTGTCAATATAGATTTTTCAAACAATCCTTTCCTAAAAACAGAAACAATTGATATAGACTGGGATATTAAATTATGGCATTACATACTAGTAGAAAAAAAATAAAATTTAATTTCAATTTCAATCAAATTTTACAAAGGCTTTGATCAAAAAGTATTTATTGTTAACTTTGATGTAATATAGTTTAATATGATGCAATTTAAATTGTTGTATGGAAATATATTTTAATCACAAAATAACTTTTTAACAATATAAATTGTAGATTTTTAATTAATAAAGTGTTCTGATGAAAGTAAACCATAAGTTAGTTGTCATCCTACTTGTTAAGAATGTGATGGCCCAACAAGAAATGATTGTTTATCTTGTTTTGAAACATCAAACAGAAGGTTTTTAGAAGATTTTAAGGAGTGTATTTGTGAATATGGAACCATAGATTAAAATGATTAATGTATTAATTATAAAACTTTATAAAATACTTTAATTTAAGGGGAACCTAAATAAGATAAATGCAAATATGGTTTTTTTGAATATGAAGATGAATGTATTTAATGGTATTATTTTTATTATATAATTAAGCCCTTCAATAATTAATAATAATCTAATAACGTGTTTAGAATGTTTATAAAATCCTAAATAATGGGCTTAAACATTTTTATGTGATACAAATTTATTTACAAATAAAAATGGAAATATAGCATAATATTTTGAAAAAATCGAATTATAATATTATTTATTAGGCAATGATTTACAATACTGTTCAGATTGTGATGTACAAAATACAAATCCAAATTATAATAATGTTTAATAAATATTTGAATTTAAAACTTTCTGTAAAATCTCACAAAAATTAAATGATGAATGTTATTTTTGTGGATAGAATTGCGATGAATGTGAAATTTTACAAACAAATCTAAGCTGCTCCTAAATATACTCTAGATTTAATTCATAAGGATTTAATTTATATTAAGAAAAACCATGTGACCCTCCAAATTTTAAAGGTTTTTCAAGTAAATGTTTTGAGTGTAAAATTCCATATTGTTTATATTGTTTCAATTATTTAGCTAGTGATCCTACAAAAACTACACTTGGTTTTTATCAATCATACACATTAATTGATGAAGAGATTAAAGTAGGATGCGCTTAATGTATTGATGGATTTATTTATAAATTTTAAATAGGAGAATGTATTTATTAAAGACCATCCTAAGAAAATTGTCTTAGATCCTTTTTTAATCTAGAAAATTAAGAAATTTGTACATTATCAGCAATAAATGATTTTAATATTGCTTTTGAAATCATAAACTGTTAAAATCATATTCTAAATTGTTAACAATGTATTGAAACACCATAATAAACTCTGAGATGTTTAATATGTTAGGATGGTTATTATGCTTAAACTCATTCAGGAATCTGTTTAAAATGTGAACATTCTAATGCAACAAAATGTTGTGAATACAGCATATTAGAATATTGGAAATGGTTAATTCAAGGTTTTATCATGAAATTCTTGCCAAATCGTCCTATTTTTTCTGGCTCTTTAATCTCCTCCAAAACTTAAGCTATTGAATGTATATAAGGATATAAATTATATGGTAAAAATTGTTAAAAATATTGTGATGAAAATTGTTCAGTTTGTGAAAGTTTAAATAATTATGATTTTACTTGCTCCAAATGCTCATTAAATTATTATAAAGAAACAATGAAAGTTTAAATTGAAGGAAAATGTATTTAATGTCCCTCATTATGTCAAGTTTGCTAAAATAGATCAATTGAAGAAATAAAAGTAAGAATCTTTCTTAAAATAGAAAATAAATCCATATTTCACTATAACTCCTGAAAATATAATGTATTCATTTAAATGCATCTAAAAAATTCCTTTATAGTCAGTCCAGATAGATCCAAATCTACAAATTGCTTAAAATTGCTTTGAAAATAATTGCAATTATAATTTAGAATATTATTTTGTAATTTATTATTTAATTTAGAATGATTTAATTTGTAACCATCTAGAAAATATTGTGTTAATTTTATAAGAAGATTATAATTATATATATTCTAATGAAATTGGCCTTTAGTAAGTTACCTTATTACTTTAAATAAATGAGGAGTGTGTTTTTTATAGTTCTGATTAATATATTGAGAATGACTTTAAAGAACAAATATTTTCTATTTAATAAACTAGTTTGAAGATTTAGAGCAGCAATAATCCTTTAATAATTTTAGATTATTTATACTTAGATATTTTTAAATTTGATTCAATTATTTTCAGTCATCTTCAATTTCAAATTAATCTTGATTTGGATATCAAACTTCTTAATGATGATTAACCTATTAATTTAAATATTCATGATACAGAATTTTATTCAATAGTTAATAATCTAGCATAAATGTCAATTAAAACAAATAAATTCCTCAATTTTAATTTATAAAATATATCATTTTTTGATATAAGTATAGTAAATTCATTAATTTTTGATATAATTTGTGTAGATTCGGGGGATGATCTTATTATTATAAATCTTTTACTTAGAAATTGCATATTAACTAATTCAACATTATTTTAATTTTAAAATAGTAGGAGAAACATTTAAATTAAACATATTATGATTGATTCTTGTTAATTTAACAATTCAACTTTTGCAAAATTCAATATTACTTAAAATGAATTTTCATAAGCCATATTTAATAAAGTTTCTATAATAAACTCTTTTTTTCAAAATTCAATTCTTATACATAGTCCCCAAAAAACTGCTATCCATATAACTGATTTCTCATTTATATAAAATTAATTTATGAATTCTAAATTCATAATATTTAATTATGACTTTTATTGTTATAATTTAATATTCAAGGAAAACTATGTTAATTCATTTTAATTAATATCATAAATCTCATCCATACAAGAAAAGTAAGAAATTTATATGAATAATATTTAGATTAATGAAAATACTGTAAACTATTTTTCTATTTTTATTACTGAATAAAAACAATCAACTTCTTAAGTGATAGTTTAATTATCAAACTTTTATTTTAAAGATAATGTTATTACTTGTAATTAAGAATAGTAACTTATCATTTTTAATTGTTATAGCTTATTAATGCAAAATATATACCTAAAGAATACAACTAATTTTCAATTTATATCATTATTTGCTATACCTTTTATAAGAATTGAAAATCTTGTTTATGAAAATTAAATTTAGGAATTAAAAGTAAGAATATCATCTAATTGTTTTTAAAATTGTTTTCCTCATTCATAATTGTTAATAGTATCAGGTTTCACTGAAATAATATTAAATCAAATTAAAATTTTAAATTAGTTTAGTGTAGATTAATCAATTATTTCAATTTAATCAAATTCATTGATTATGTTAACTAAATAAGAATATATTAGAATATAAGATATATTAGTGAATGGAAATATTATAATAAAACAAAATATTGGAATTATTATATCCTTGATAGAAATAATGACTACAAAATCTTCAATTATAGAAATAGAAAATCTAAAATTTTATGAAAATGTTTTTCATTAATATTATGAAGATCCATCTGAAACTTTTGCCAGTCTTTTATATATAGATTCAAGATCAAGTTTTATGATTTTAAAAAATATTATTTGCACTAATAATTCTATAACAAATTCTTCCTCAGCTTATATATCAATTTCCTCAAATCAAATATAGATTGAAAATTTTTAAGTTAATAATCATAATTATATTGATCAGGAATTTTGGATTAAATATTACGAAATTTAAATATAAGGAGATTTTAATTAAAATGAAATTTCTTATATAATCTCTAACATATACAAAATTGAAAATGTAGGAGGTTCTTTATCAATATAGGCTACCAAATTTACTTTTTTTGATGGAGTTTTTTATTTTATTTAAGCAAAAGGTAGTCAAATCTTTAACATCAACCTTTAAATTGATGGAATAGTGATTATTTAAAATTGCAAAATTGCTCATGCATATAATTCATTTATTTCGAAAACTCAAAACGATGGTGCAATTACAATTAATGCTAAAAAAAGCTTATTTTCACTTTATCTAGAAAATATTACTTTATTTGATGTTATTAATAAATTATCATCCTCAATACTGACCATATATCCTTCTCCATCATAAAATAATATTCAGATAAAAAATATAATAGTAAAAGACTGTTTTTCGCTTGTGAATTAGATTCTCGATTTTGAATTCGATTTTTAGAATGCTTAATAAAATATTGTAAAATTACAAAATTTTAGAATTATTTCGACTGAAAATGCTTTCTATACTTTTCTTTAATTTCTTGGAAAACTTAGTCTAATAGATTTGTAGAAAATAATTAACAATAATGCAATTCTGAATTTTTTAGGATGTTCATTAACTTTAATTGATAATCAAATAGAAGGAATTATATTATCATCTGTTTTGAAAATATCAGATTCAAAACAGATAATTGTTATGAATACCCTATTTATTAATATATTAACTTTTTATCCCTTGTATTTAGTAGAAGTATAATAAAGTAATAATTTACAATCAAAGATATATTTTAATAATATGAAAATATAAAATTTTAATGATCTCAAATTCAAAAATTAAAATTACAATTATTTTAATTTTAATCATATTGGGTTAAATTTAAATCAATGCAGTCCAATAATTAGTTATATAGATTAGCAAATAATATAAAAGGAACTTATTTAAACTTTTTTTGAAAATGTTCTTGTAAATTCAAATAAGAATGGTTCATTAATAAAAATCACTAGTTTTACAAATTAAACTAGTGTTATTTTTTCTAAGATTTCTGTATTAAATAATGATTGTTAATATTGTTATAATGGTTTATTATATTTTAATATCAATGATTTTAAGCAAATACAAATTTCAGAATTATGTTGTATAAAGAACAATATTATAAATTATGGTTGTATTTTTGCAAAATCAGATAGAAAAGTTAACCATGAATTATAAATAAAAGATTCAACCTTTATTTCTAATAATGGCAGATAAGGATCTGGTATTTTAGTTTAAAATTTAAAATTTAAATTATTAAATTCCAAAATTATTAATAATAATGCTACTTATAAAGGAGGTGGTTTTTATTTTGAAGAAGGTTCTGATAGATTTATTATTTAATCAACTATAATTTGTGATAATAAAGCAGAAGAAGCAGGAGGTGTATATTTAGATGGAAATAGTAGTTTAAATAACAATAATTTTATTAAATCCATTCTGTTATTTAATTAAGCTTAATCTTCTTCAAATAATATTAATGAATTACCGTTAAGATTAACATTATCAATAAATTAGAATGAAATGTTTTCATCAGAACATATAATTGAAAATCATTCCTATTAGGTCTTAACATTAAAACCATTTTAAATCTTATCATAAGAAAATGTGGTAAAATCAAATTTTTTATTAATCCCCAGTGGGTAATATATTTAGAATTATCAGATTTATAATACTTAATTTTAGAAATATTAGTCTTATATTCATGAATTTAGCATGATATTAAAAAATAGTAGGAATGAAAAATAAATAAACTTTTATAATTCTACTTGTAAAATATATTAATAAATTTTTGATATTTAATTATAAAAAGTAATTGAATATACATAAATATCAATGATTAGTTTTAATTATGATACAAAAAGTTTTAATTTAAGTTCATTAGAATTTAATTTAGATCCATATAATTAAGATAATAAAATATAAGAAATATTAATTTATTGTAATACATAATATTAATAAGAGAGTTTAGCATATAGAATGAGAGTTAATAGTTTTTTATGTTAATTAGGAGAATTTTATATTTTTTCTGGTTGTTAAAAATGTAAGTCTGAATAAGGGTTTTATTCTGTAACATATAATACTACAAAATGTTCTATTTTTGATAAAAATAAATTTGAAGCTATTACATCTAATAAAATATAATTAAAACCTGGATTTTGGAGACCAAATTAAATTTCTGATTATATAGAATATTGTTATAAAAATCCAATTCATTGTTTAGGAGGATGGAATGTAGGTAATGATATATGTTCAATGGGACATATAGGTGGATATTGTGAAGAATGTGATAGATTTGATATTAGAGGAGATGGAAAATTCTTTAAAAATTAATAATAACTTGATTGTTAAAAATGTCAAGATGTTTCTAAAAGATTTTTAGCTTTTTTTCTTATATCAATTTGGTAAATTTATATTAAATTTATGATAGGGCTATTCTTTCCACTCTTTTAACAATCAAAAGTATTGAAAAATCAAATTAATTATTTGCTTAACTTAAAATTAGATAGAATTTTACTGAAATTTTATTCAAACTTAATTAAGGTAAAGTGAAATAAATACATATATTTTAGATCATGAAAGTATTTTATTAAAATTATTTTTGAATTATATATGGGTGTTTTCTCTCATATTTACATTCAATATTAGTTTTTCATTTTCATTAAACTTTGTTAAATAATCTAATGATACTTCTTATTTTATGGCAAATTATTTTGAATGCTTTTTGGCTGAAATTTCAGGAATGGAATTGATGTATAGTAGAATTTTAGTAATGTTTGGACTTATGGCTAGCTAAATATTAATTATCTTTTTAGGATTTTAAATATTATCAAAATATTAAAAATCTAAATTTCATAGTAGAATTATCTCAATTACATGTCTATATTTATATATATAAAATTATGCTTCATTGATCAATCAGTAAAATTTATAATTTAATTTTAGATTTTTCTAAATTCTAGCAATTAGAAAGATATCAAATTTAGATTATATATCTGGAGATGTATCCTTAATTTATGGTTCATAGAATCATATCACATGGATTTATGCATTTGCAATACCTGGATCTATAATAATAGGATTAATATTACCATTATCATTATTTTTAATTTTGTACATCAAAAAAGATTAACATAACAAAATTAAATTTAGAAGACATATTGGTTATTTATTTAATGAATATAATAAAAAGAATTATTTTTGGGAAATGATTAAATTATGGAAGAAAACAATTATCATTATTATCCTCATCTATTTTGAAACTGATATCTTTTTAAAAGCCTCTCTATTAGGACTTTGTTTATTAATTTATCAATTAATAGCTCTTCACTATAAACCATATATACTTAAGAAATTTAATATTTCTGATATCAAAAGTAGCCATTTATGTTAAATTGCAATATTTTTAGCACTTATAAAATATATTTGTGAATAATAAGACCAATAAAATATTTAAACTATAATTCAAATACTTATCATCTTCGATAGCATAATATTGAGTTATCCATTTATTATAGATATTTTGAGAGTGTATTATTCAAAATACAGGTTGCAAATTTTATAACTTCTTTTGTAAGCTTTTCAAACTTTTAAACCTAATTTTGTATTCACAAAGTTTTTGAGGAAAAAGTTATAACTCATAAGTTAAAAAGAAAAGAGGGTTTAAATTAATATCTAAAAAATGAAAAAATTAATTTTTTTAAGAAACTTTGGAACCACTTAGTAATTTTATATTTTTAATATTAGAGTGAAAAATAGTTATTTATAGAGTGCTACATCATAGACTAAACCAATTTAAATAACTCTAAACACCAATTTATTAAAATAAAAATGATGATTTAGCTTTCATTAAATTATCAGTAAAAAAATTTAACAATTTTTTTTGAAATTATATTAATAACAGATATATTTTTGATTACTTGATTAAATATATCTCTTCATTTCTAAAACTCCTTTATTATTTAATCATTTTTCTGAAATAAATCAATTAAATTTTTAGATTTTAAATCTATAATTTTAGTGTATAGTATTGTGTATATCAAAATAAGTGTTTGATATATAATTCATTTTTCAAATCTTAAAACTAAGAGGATATAAAAGTGTAAATGTATATTATTAATCATATTTTACTCCTTTAGAAATCAGTAAATGTTTTGATACAAAAATAATTTTAAAAGAGTTTATTATAAAATAGTGAGATTAAAACTAAAAATTAGAGTATTTAAATAAGTATTAATCAAAATAATTCTTTTTGATGAGAATCAAAGTCAAAACTCAAGAAAAATCAATTATTTTTGATTGAAATCATCATTCAAAAAAACAAAAGGATCAAAAACATAATTAAATTGACATGATTTTTTACATATATAAATTTACCATAATTTATATATTATAATGTTAATAAATGTTATTTGATAATTTTATTTGATCTTTAAGCTTTGTCCTATACATACTTGCAAATTTAATTATTTAGATTTATATTTACAAATAAAATCTAATAACAATATTTTAAAATTCATAACTCCATTTTTGTATCAAGATATCACTATTTACTATAATAAATTTATTATATATAGAACAAAAAGTTCAACACCCACCTAATCCAAAAAAAAAAAGAATCAATCTTGAATTTGATTGAATTTATTTTAAATATATTAAAATAAATATTTCAATAAATTTTATCAAGTAGCAAGTAAGTGAAGATTCTTTTTATTAGATACTAAGCCTTGTAATAATAAATTAAAAAATCTTCCTAAAGAATTAATAAACTTAAAAAGATAGCTACATTATGATATATTAATAATTTTTTATATTTGATAATAAATTCATAATTTATTTAATTTAATAATTGAAATATTCAAAGTTATTATGCATAAACCTTTTTTTCTTCTTAATTTGATTGTTTTTATAACATTTTAGATAGCAAACTAATAAGATTGTGAAATTGTTTCGATTGAAAAGGATGAGATTTTGGTAACAAATAAATAATATCAAATAATTTAAACTGATGTTAATGATTGGAAAATAATTAAAAATGATGAGTATTAATTAACATAATTAGAAATGATAATTCCTTATTAATCACAGGACTTAATTATTTCAACATTAATCATAGAAATGAAAACTCCAAAATTATTTGGAAAATATTTTTGTTTATTAAAAAGATAGCAAGTGCATTTTATCTTTTGCATAAATATTAGCTAATAATTTGCATCATTCAAACTAAATGAAAAAATACAGAATAACTAATCAAAAATATAAATTAAAGTAGAAACTATAAATGATGAAATATGTGAAGAAATTGTTTAAGATTAGGAGGAAATTTTGATTTTTTGCATCACAATTAATTAATTAAAAATTTATTCTGTAAATTTTGAAAACACAAAAACTTTAATCATATATCCAATAAATGAATTACAATAATAGAATTGTAAAAGAAAATATATCAAAAGATGGGAAGCTAAATATTTGATAATTTATTATTAATGCGTTTAATGGGAAGTTTTAAATTTTTAAAGGAATTAAATCTCTGTTATTTTAAATTCTATAATTGCTTTTGAGAAGTTCGGTAATAATATTGATTATATTGAAAATATTCTCACATGTAATAATTATTAGGTCTCTAAATTTAAATAAGATTTTTGCTACCTAATCTCAAATAATGGATATTACAATTATTTTATCTACTCAAATAATTCAATTTCTTTAAATTACTTTCTTCCAATATAAGATTTAAAAGATATTTTAATTAATGAAAGATGTTTCGTCATATTTTTAGTTAATTAAGAAAAATCAACTAGCAAAATGAATATCATTTCCAACAATAAAATAATTGAATTTGAGAGTAATTAATTTAAAAGTTACTATTCTAAAAATTTGCTTTTTGTTGTATCTCAAGATAAAATTGAAATTGTTTCAATTTCAGGACATAAATAATAATATCAAATAGCATTAAGTGAATTAAATATCCATTCTCTGCATAATTTATTTTGCCTAATTGACAAAATTAACAATTAAATTTTAATTTATAAACTTTTAGTAAATTAATAAATTATCAAACCTTCCAAGAAATTTATATTATTATTTGGATAATCATTATCAAACTACCCTGAAAAATGCTATTAAATAGAAATATTAACATTTACATCAATTAGTTAAATAAATATTTCGAAATTAAATAATATTTGTCAAACTAGTGACAAAATTTTAGTTAAAAAATAACTATAACTGCTTCCTAATGAATATTATTTTAAAATAAATAATGACTCATAGTAAGAGATGATAAGTAGTATATTTGATTAATTTAGCTTTAGATTATTGTGTAAATTTATAAATGAATAGAATCTAATTCAAGAATAATTAATAATCTTAAATTATAATTCAATTTAAAATATCATTCTATTTAAATCGAAAAACTTAATATTCTTTTAAAATTGCAATAATGGCTAAAAATATAAATTTTCTATTCATTAAAAATAGGTATTCTTTTATTAAGAGAATATTTTAATGTTAGATGAAAGTAGCAAAAAATAGATAACAATAATCTAATATTAGTTCAACTAAATAAATTAAAAGAATATCGAGTTAAATGAATAAATAAAGAATATTGTTTAGTTTCAATAATTTTGCTTAATATAAACTGAAGAAAATAGTAAATATATTCTTATCGATATTCAATTTTTAAAAATTTAAGAACTTTCTGAAGCGGTGAATAATTTTTTAAAATAAACTTTATCATATATGGATTATAGAGAAAATATAAAAGATTAGGTGTTCTTTTATTACTCTGGGCCTATAAATTTATTTCAATATTTTGAGCATTTGATAATTATGAAACATGAGAAATATATATATTCTAAACTGGAAAGTGTTGAAATTATTTAAACATAAGAAATAGTATCTAATGTTTATCAACTTATAGCATTACATTAAATTGAAGATATTATATAAATTTATTATTTAAATGTTGAAGAATTAATATTGTTATATGAATATAATGTTGCTATGGCTAAAATTTTAAGACCCTTTAAATATTCAATTAATTAGAATTATTTAATTATTGCAGCCAACATACAAGAAAAATAATTTTTACTAACTTTCGCAATATTTAAGAATAAGAATTTAAAATTAATTAAAACTATAGAGATAAGTTCATTAAAATTTCTTTTAGAAAACAATTATTTATATTATTTTGATAAATCTAATAATTTTAGAGTTTATAATATTGAATATTTTGAAGTGACTCTTAAAAATCTTATTCCTAAATAAAAGGATTTTTTACATATTTAATAGTTTTCTTTTGAAATCTTTCTTGTTGATTCAAATGAATCTTATATGAAAATATCATTTTTTTTAATGAAATCTAATTAATGTTATCAATTATTTCCTATTTAAAATTAAATATAGCTATAACTGAATAATAGAAACTTTTTAAGAATCAAACTAGATGAATTATTTCTAGGGCAAATATATAACTTAACTTCCTTATAAAATAATAATACATATTTGAATGGGCCTTTTTTACTATAAGAAAAAATATCAAATTATAAATAACATTATACTATCAAAATTAGAACTATATATCTCTAATAAACTAATAATTTAAGTGAATTGTAGAAAAAAACAAAAATATATCTTATACATCTTGAATCAGGTATAGAAGTTGTCAAAAATTATGAGGAAATCAAAAAATATTTTCAAATAGAATATGGAATGTTTTTAGATATGTTTTGTGAAAATGAATATTTTTTATAAGTTTTATTTTTAACGAATTAGAATGATTTGTAAGTTATAAAATTTTTAATTAAAGATAATTATTTGATTTTAGATGAACAACAATTAGTAATATAATAAAATATTAATTTAAATTTTTATAATTAGGTTTTGAAAATTGGTAAGTTAATTGCTTTAAATTCGGATTCAAATCCTTATCTGTACTATTTAACAGAATAAACTATTAAATCACTTGAAAATTAAAAAGAGTTTGAGAAAATTATTTTTATTAAAAATGCTAATGATTTATACCTAACTACACAAAATTACTTTTAAGAATAATATTGGTAAATTCAAATTCTTGTATTAAAAACCTAAAAATTGGAAATATTTTTATAACGTTTGATTGATATAGATTTAATATTTTAAGAATTAAAAAAGTATATTTTAATTGAAGATATAATAGATCAGGAAGTTACTGAATAAATTGATTTATTAGATGCTTATTTATTTGAAAATTAAATAAAACTAGTTTTAATGATTAAAATGCTCAATTTTTAAATAATAAGTAGTTTCAAATTCAATTTAATTGATGAAAATATTGTTTTTAGTGTTAATAAAATAGTTAGAATTTCAATCACTAATAAGGAAATATTATAAACTTATTATTACAATTCAAATATTTTAATATTAAAATCAACATAAAATTAGGCTTATATATATGACCTTCGACAACAGAGAATATTATGTGACTTTATAAGTTTCATCAGTCAAATAAACTTTTAAATATATTCTTTAAATACTACACATTATTTATTTTACTATTTTGAGATTGATGAATTTTTTGTTGGAGAAGTAGATTATGAATTAGAAATTACAAATATTACAAACGTCACAAGAAAAAAATTAAGCACAACTATAATTTCTTAAAATTTAGTATCTGATGCTCAAGTAGAATTACAAATAATAATTATTCAAGATTCAGAGTTTCATGGTATCTATCTAATAATCCTTTTTCTAATAAGTATTATCTTAATATTCTTATGCTTAAAAGTTATAAATTAGAAATTTAAGCAGCAATATTAGCAAAATTAAATTGAGTTTGAATTGAGTAATTAAAAGTGATAAATTATATAACTATATTAATAATTTAAGTTTAAAGCCTTCTTGTATTCTCAATTCATATTGACTCAATATATTTTAGATGAGTAATTTTTATAACATTCTGATTATAAAATTAAACTGTTCTATTAAATAGTTTTAAATTAAAAATTTTTATAACTATTTTATTTAATTGAAATTAATCAATGTTAATGAAAAAAGTTCTTAAAATTAATGAGATAGAGAAATTTAGGATTGATAAATAGATAGATTCTTAGAGAAAATATTATATTCTAAAATAATTGTTTATTTCTAACATGTTAAATATATCTAATTATATAAAGATAATGTTGATTGTTTAGTAAGATTAAATTACAATAAATTCAAAAAAAAGAGTAAGCAAATAAAATATTTATGGATTTAATATTTAGGGAAAGTTTAATAATTAATTTTGTTCATAAAACAAAAAATTTTTTAATTGGAAATAATTTCATTCCATTTTAAAAGTTTGTCTTAGCAATTTTAGTTTGTTAATTTAAATTCTTTAAATCATTTATTTCAATCCATATACCATCTTTTGTACCATATTTTTCTTCATAATTTCCTCCACCTCTATTTAAATTAAAATTAATTAATTTACAAAATTTAATATTAATCTTCATAACTTTTTTTACATAATAAATTCCATTTACCTAACTTTTAATTATTTTAATAAGATCCATCAAAAAATATTTAATTTTGACTCTAATAGAAATAATAAAATTACTAATTGAAATTATATATAGGTTCAATCCATCTTCCATTTTTTTAATCATTATCATAATTACCACCACCACTATTTAAATATTTATTTATACATTTTTTAAAATTATTCTTACAAAGTTCTATATTTTATATCCCATAAACCATTTTTTTAACCATTATCATATTCTCCTGAGTAAATAATTTAATGATTACTATAAATAATATTATAAATGTAACCAATCATAAGAATCTTATAATTCATCCCATTTTCCAAATTTAATACCATTTTAATTATAATTTCCTTATCCACTAAATTATAAATTAGATTTTTAATACATGGTTTAATAATTAGATTTTTCACTCATTCTAAAATATATTTCCCAATTTCCTATTCTATTACCCATATTATAATCCCCTATCATTATTATTTAACAATCTCTATTGATATATATTAATTATTACTCATAAAAATTAAAATGTGGTTCTACCCAAAATCCAACTTTTTTACCTTCAATTTCATCATATATTCCACCTCCACTAATATTTAATTTTGAAAATACATTTTTATATTTCTTTCATAATATGGTATTTTCATCATTATTGTCCAATCTTTACATTTTTTTCCATTTTCATAATTTCCAATTTCTATAATTTAATTTAGACTTTTGATAAATATTAAAATTACTCATAATAATTATCATATAATTGAATCCATTTTCCAAATTTCTATCCAATTAATTCATATATTCCATAAGCTCTTAAAAATAATAAATCAAATACCTTATTCTTTTATTATGTATAACATTCCAAATACCTATTTTATTTCCATTAATATATTCTCCTTAATAAGTTACTATACATAAACTATTATTTAATCAAAATAAAACCTATCAAAATCTTCATGTAAATCAATCCATTTCTTTATTTTTTAACCTTTTTTATTATAATTACCTCCTCCACTTATATTTTATAATCAAATATTTACATTTAACAAAATTTTTATTATTATAATCCAATCTTTTATTTTATTTTCCAAAATCCTTATTTTATTCCATTTTTATATTCTCCAATTAAAATTGTTTTACAATCCCTAAATATTTTAAATAAATACATATCATAACTAGAATGTAAATCAATCCATATTCCATTTTTAAACCCAGTATTATTATCATATATACCCCCTCCTCTTTTTTATTCAAATTAATAAAAATATTTACATTATTTATGTTTCCTTATTTTAATTTTCAAAAATCTTAAAGTTCCATTATCCAATTTTATTACCATTTCTATAATTTCCTTAATATAATATTAATTTATCCTAACTAATATATATAATTAATTAACTATTAAACATTTATATACTTCAACCCATTTTCCTATTTTTATACCATTTTTATATAAACCACCTCCTCTAATTTTAAATTTTAAAATATCATACATTCCTATCAATTCTTTTCCAGATTTTAAACAATATAATGTTTACCATAAACCATCTTTAACCTTATTTTTATATCTTCCAAAATAAATCACTTAATCTCTTTTAATATTTTAATTATTTTATACCCTTTACCATTTTCATAAACTTCTATATAATTACTAGCAGAAATATTCATCAATTCTTTTTTAAGTTTTGTCTCACTCAAAAATTTCCAACTTGAATGAGGAATTTCTAAAATTTCTTCCTTTAATTATAATAAATTTTATTCATCAAAATGTAAAGCTTCATCTCTACAATCATTGTATTTTTACTTTTATTATTCTTAATCCTTTAATTTTAATGCTAAATCTTTATATTTATTTTAAGTTATCCATTCAAAATACTTATTTTAATTCCCTTTTATTATTTTATTCATTAAATATATTTTATCAATAATATGTTTTTATCTTTTATTATTTTTTTTTCAAATCTTATTTATAAAAAGGAATATTTAAAAATTCTTATCGCAATCAAATTCATTTATATATAATACTAATTTCATTAAAAATATTTAATTAATTTTCACAAATAAAATATATACTCATTTATGAAATACATATTTCTTTAAAATAAAATTAAATTTATATTTATACATTTTTTTGATATTTAACAGTCCTACATCAAATTTTATTTTCAATCAATTTATTCCATTATATATTCAATATATTGATAAAATAATTATTTTTTTAAGAACTTTAATATCATAATATCATAATAGAGAAAGGTTCTTCAAATTAAAATAAACTAATTTATAATTACTAGAAAATCTTCTTATATTCTATTTATAAATCATTTCTTTTTATTTTTTTTAAGTGTTAATTAATTTTATCTCAATTTAAAATGAAAAGGTTATATCATATTATAATCTTAAGTTATTTATTACACTCATTAAATTGTATTAGTTATTTGATTAATAAATAAATAATTATTATTTTTTGATTTTCTAAAAAATGGGGAACTTATTTTAAAAATATTAAATTAGTTAAAAGCTTTAGATAATAATGATTGGATTAGATGCAGCAGGAAAGACTACGATTTTAAACTAATTAAAATTAGGAAAAGTAGAAAATATTACACATACAATTGGCTTTAATTTGAAAAAACTAAAAAGTAAAGAATTAGACATTGTTTGTTGGGATATTGGAGGATCAGATAAAATGAGATTACTATGGAAACATTATTATTAGATTACAAAAGGATTAATTTTGTGTTGTGGATATTACGGATTAAGAAAGAATGATAGAGGTTAAATAATGGTTATAAAAACTATTGATTGAAGATTAATTAAATAGTTTACCTCTATTAATATATGCTAATAAGAATGATCTTACTTAATTTAATTCTAATAAGTTTATCTCAGAAATCATGTTTTAAGATTTTTCTAAGAATTTTTATATCTAATCCTGTTGTGCTAAAACAGGAGAAGGACTTTAAGAAGGAATAAATTGGATTCTATAATAGATTAAATGAAATATAAATATCATTTTTATTAACAATTATTAATTTTATGATAAATATAAATTTACACAAGATGCTAAATATCTATAAGTATATAATTGTATAATTAATAATTCTTTCAAATTATATAAAGTAAGTTTTTGAATAAATTAATTAAAATCTAGTATTTCTGTATAAACAAGATTATTCACTTTTTATAATTGATTTATTTGTGTTGTTTGTTTTTGACTCAAAAATAATATATATTTTTAATGAAAATTATGAAGAGATGATTAATTTAAATAATTAATAATAAAGCTCATCAAAATTACAAGTTTTACTTTCACAATTATAATAATTTATACATTCTTATCAAGTAATTTTCAAGACACAAAATAAAATACTTATTACAATTGAATCGATAGAAAATGCTGATTAAGACGAAATTAGTTTATCGTTATATAAAAAAAAAATTCTTAATATTTATTCAATCATCTAAGATAAGATGATTAATTTTTAAAGAAACTATTCAGTTTATGACAAACTTCATTTCTTAATTTTAAAATTATTTTATTAAATAGCATTTTTTCATTATTTTATTATTTTCTCATATAAATGGTTATCTGAAGATTTAAAGACATTAGCAGATTTTATTATAAATAAAATTATTAAAATTTATGTAAAAGAAAATAAATAAAAAAATTTTCAATTTTAAATAAAGAAAATGTTAATTATTTTTATTAATTTTCATAAATTATTATTATAATTTGATTAATAAGTTTATAATAATATTTAAAAATTTCTTTCATCTAAACAAAGTTTATATAATCACATCTTGTAATTCTTAATAAAGTACTTTAAATGAAAACTTGATGATCATAATTAATTTGTTTTGATTGAAACTTATTAAATGGAATTATAATAACTTAAAATTATCTTTTTCATCAAATTTAGTTCAAAAGAGTAATTTAGAACATTTATAAGATTTCAAATAATTGTAGAAATAATTATAATTTAATTTATCAATTATCTAAATTAATAATAAAATTGATTCAATTCTATGCTATTCTATCCAAATTAAATTATAAAATTTAAAGCTTAAATTAATAATAATAATAATTTAAATAAAAAAAGAAATATATGATATAGTGTTTATAAAAATGATATGTTATTGTTAAATTATAAGTTTTAATTAAAAATCAACCAAAACAACCAAGAAGTCCATAAAAACCTCCAAAAATTCCAAACAAAACAACAGCTGTGTTGATTATTCGATTTAGAGGTTCAACTTTGAATCTAAAAGTCATATAATATGGAATAATATATCCAAGAGTTACACAACAAACACATCCAAAAATAGATAAAACTATTGCGAAATTGGGATACAGAAATGCAATTAACTATATAGATATTTAATGAATTACCATTTAAGTAAGAACATATATAATTTTCATTTGATATAATTCTTTCTTATTAAATATAGAATTAATTATTAAATAAAATGGCATATTTACCATTAAAGTATTGATAATGAGAATCGATACATAAGTAATCATTAAAATTGATAAAGTAATTAAGATTGAATAATTATGTTTGAATTGTTCTTAATAATTTGTAATAATAGATTAATTAGTATTTGTTTAAAATAATAATGAACTAGTAATTCCAAAAAACATAAATAAGATGGTTTCTAATGTCATAGCTTCGAATAGACATTTTTAAAAATGACTAGTATCTTCCATTTCAATTCTAATTTCAGTTAAAACACCATTCATATCATATGCAAATATCATGATACCAAAAGCAATCATAACTTTATCAGTATTCGATTCTGTTAATTTCCATTTATTTAATTCAATTATAGCTAAGAAAGATAAATATGCAAATGAAATATATACTATTAATAATACTTACTTTAAAATAGGTACAAATATTTAAAGATTCTGAGCAAATGAAAAACCGAATATGATTATAAATAATAGCACAAATATAATTATTTGACTCTATAAACTATATTCAAAATATGATCCTATTGTGATTTGAAATAAAATTATATAAGATAAACCACATCCAAAATTTAATATAATAGACATATTCTTGGCTAATGTGTAAATAAAACTATTTTCTCCATATGTTTAAGATAGATATTAAATTAAAGTTAATCGCTTTCTATCTCCTAAACAATTCACCATAATACACCATGATGAATATTATGTTGTACAAACTAATAATTATAATATTATTCCCCACCATAATCCTGCTTAAGCATAAGCATATGGCATTGCAAATATACCTGAACCTACTGTTACTTTTATTAATTTAATTGTTGTTTAGAAATTAGTTGATTTTGGTTATTCATTATCTTATGTGATCATTAATGTTTCCATTTTATTATTTGATTAAATTAATTCTCAAAAATGTAACAAACAAATATATAAATCTTATTTATTAATAATAATATACTTATAATATATTTATCACTTCATATAATCATTGTTTAAATTTACATAAATTAATAGATCTAATTTATTAATCAGATATACTTTGAAATCACATTAAATATCAAAACTATATTTGAAGAATTCTTTTTTATTTTATTATTATAATTCACATTAGAAAATTCACTAGACAATTATAAATTTTATGAATTATATATAAGAATTTGATATGTTTCAAAATCTAAAGGTCTATATCTAATTATATTAATCAAGAAAATGATTTTAAACTTTCATTAATTTGAAAAAATACTTTAAAACAATTAATAAAATAAGAAATTACAAAGACAAAAATAAAGTTTAGTAATTTTTATTAAAAGATCGAATAAAAATTATTAATTAATTATGAAAGTAATAAATAAACAACAAAAAAGGGAAATTTGAAATTTTAGTTTAAAAGTTTTAGAACTTTATGTTATCCTTCTTCTTTGATAAATATACTCATTAATTCATGATTCTTAATTATTTTAGTTGATAGAACCTTGTTTTTTATAATTCTTTTATTTTTGTTTCAATTTCATTCTTCTTAGAAGAAAATACAAAATTAATAGTAAACAAAGAATAAAAAGAATTTAGTTATAAAATTTTAGTTCTATATCTGATCGTTAAATACTTCAAGAGATATTTATAATTATATTGATGATACTTTATTTTCAGCAATTAATGTGAAAACTTAATTTTCTAAAACTTCATCATTAATTTTAATTAGATAACCAATATTTGCAAAAAACATCTTTTATTGTATACAATCATAAACAATAAAATGAGTAGTATTAAATTGATGAAAAAGGTATTATCTTTCTAAAAATTGTTTTCCAATATAATGATAAAGATTTGATTATTCTAATAAATCATAAAAGTAAATTAAATTAAATTACTTTAAGATTAAATTATTTTAATTAAAATATTCGTATTCCAAATCTTAATTTAGATTTTCAGGATTTCTTAAAATTTTTATTGGTCTATAAGAGATTTTAAAGTCTTCCATAAATATTATAATTTCACATATTACTAAATATTCTTAAAAAGCTTGAAGAATTGTTATTTATAATTTTTCATCAGCAATACTACATTCTAAAAAAATTAGTTAGTAATCATAATTTAATTTTTAGTTTGGATGTAAATATATTTAATTTTTAAGAACAATATCCATAGAATTCCAAGTAAGTGATGCAGTTCCTTTTACTTGAAATTCTAACTAATCTAGAGATAGAATTTGAAATAGTAATATTTATTGATTATTCTTTGTATTTAAAGATAGAGATATATACAATTCATTATTACCTTTAATCTTCAATATTTCTAGAATATTCAAATGATTTTAAATCTATTATATACTGTATCCAATTATTTAATATATATCTATTGTATTTTAAGCTTTAATTATGATTAAATTTCCAGTTTTAAAGCTTTGACAATTAAAATGTAAAGGAAAATTAATAATTATTTCGAATATAGGTTCAGATTCTAATTATAAAGTAGTTTCATTAATCATATGTATGGATCCTCTTATTTCATTTCTATTTTTATTAAGAAATAAAACTAATAAAGATTTGTCATTGAATTGAATGATATTTTATAAATGTGCTTTATTTTTTATTTAACTTTAAATTGATTTATCAAATAATATAATTAAATTGCTCTTATATTTAAATAGTATAATATTTATAATATTTTATACACCAGGAAATTATGATCCTAGATTAATAGTCTATAATTTAGCATCTTTTAAAATTTCTTAATTATTAATTATTTCATATAGTAACATAGGTCCTTATATTTTTATATGATTATTATTTATGATTTAGACATTATTAATTGGACCATAAATATAATCATTTATATTAAATTTTAATTCTTTCTATGATATAAATTTTAGTAGAACATCATTCTATTTTTTTAATAATTTAAAGCATTCATTATAGCTCTTTATAGAGATTTCTACATTCATTATAGAATCATTAGAATTTATAGGTATTATTTAAAATTAAATCTATTTTATGTTAGTAAGATCATTCTACTCTAGCAATAGATTATCTATTTAAATTTCAAAATCTTTTGTATTGTATTTATAAATGTTGTCATCTTAATCATAATAAAATAGAAATTCTTAAACGAAAAAAAATTAAACTCTTCCTATTTCAATAATTTTGTATTATTTTAGAGGAAATTTAATTGAAACAGCAAATAACAAAATATATGTTTTTGTTAATTTTTTAGTTGCAATAGCTAAATAATTATAATAATAATTAATTTAGTATTCTAATGGTCTTATGATTTCATAATCATTCAAATCAATCTTATTTAAAATTGATATTTAATCTTCAATAAGAATTTATTCAATTATTAAATTATTAATAAGATGTACTCCTAAAATATAATATTTAGAGCTTAATATAATTCTTAATACAACTATCTATATAGAACCTATTTCAATCCAATGAATTTATGAATGATTATCTATTATCAAATATTAATTAAATTAAATAAGTTAAGGTTAATATTTTACAAAATAGAATGCTTGAAATTATTAAGTTTCTTTTTATGTTTATAAATACATTTGATTCAGATTGGCCAAGATATTTTTGATTTTTTGATCGATCATCAAAGTAGATGCTGTACATAAATCAAATAATTAAATTTCTTCTCTATTTTAAGTGAATACAATAATAATATCTAAAAATTAAAGTATATTGATTATTTCACTTTTAAATCTATATTCAAAATTCTCTGGTTAAGTAGCTAGAAAAATTGTTTATCTTAATATTTTTTTATCCTTTAACCACATAAAAATAGAACTTCCGTATTAGAATACCTAATTTTATTAAGTTTTGATTTGATGTAATAATTATCCATCACAACTTTAGTAATGAATATAATTTTTAGTTTTTGTTAATGTAAAAGATTTTTAATTATCACTTTAATAATATACTAAGGTTTAATCTATATATCATATAAATATATTTTTTAGAAGATTTAATGAAATTTCTGGGATATGAAAATCTATAAAATAAGATTTCATTTGCAATTAAATCTATTTAAAATATGAGATTAAATTAATTATCAAAGTAAAATTGCGAATGATTGATATTAATTATTTATTATAATTATTTGTCATAAATTATTAATAATTAATTATTATTTTAAACAAAAAGTATATCCCGAAATAAATTGATATTAAAATTAGTACCTTCTAATTCTAATTAAATATTTTTTTTTTTNTGAATGATTATCTATTATCAAATATTAATTAAATTAAATAAGTTAAGGTTAATATTTTACAAAATAGAATGCTTGAAATTATTAAGTTTCTTTTTATGTTTATAAATACATTTGATTCAGATTGGCCAAGATATTTTTGATTTTTTGATCGATCATCAAAGTAGATGCTGTACATAAATCAAATAATTAAATTTCTTCTCTATTTTAAGTGAATACAATAATAATATCTAAAAATTAAAGTATATTGATTATTTCACTTTTAAATCTATATTCAAAATTCTCTGGTTAAGTAGCTAGAAAAATTGTTTATCTTAATATTTTTTTATCCTTTAACCACATAAAAATAGAACTTCCGTATTAGAATACCTAATTTTATTAAGTTTTGATTTGATGTAATAATTATCCATCACAACTTTAGTAATGAATATAATTTTTAGTTTTTGTTAATGTAAAAGATTTTTAATTATCACTTTAATAATATACTAAGGTTTAATCTATATGGTTAAAATTATTTAAATTCCTACAAAATAAATTAAATGAAGAATTATCAAAAATACTTATATTTAAATCATGATTTAAAGGTAATTGTATATAATATTAGCCAATTAAATTAAAACTTTATTTGCTTAATTAAATGATTGATTAATTTTGGCAAATATTTATCAAATTGAAATTTTGAATTAATTAAGGAGTTTTTAAAATATATTAAATTTCAAAGCAGAAATAATTATAAGCTTAAAGTAGTGATTAACTGTATATCATATAAATATATTTTTTAGAAGATTTAATGAAATTTCTGGGATATGAAAATCTATAAAATAAGATTTCATTTGCAATTAAATCTATTTAAAATATGAGATTAAATTAATTATCAAAGTAAAATTGCGAATGATTGATATTAATTATTTATTATAATTATTTGTCATAAATTATTAATAATTAATTATTATTTTAAACAAAAAGTATATCCCGAAATAAATTGATATTAAAATTAGTACCTTCTAATTCTAATTAAATATTTTTTTTTTTTATTACTGTCTTGTTAACTGAAGAAATATAATGAATATGATATACTGGATTGCAAGTCTATGAAAGTAAAACCTATTTTAAATTTAAAAAATTTTTGAAAACTATTTGAAAAGTTAACGAGTTATTCTCATAAATTATAAATGTGAAATAATTAGTTTCTGTAATAAGAAATAACTAATTTTGTTAACATAAATCAATATTCTCTAGATAATTTATTTATTATGAATAATTATTTTATGCTATTTATTCATTTAAAGTTACATTTAATTATTCGTTATAATAAGTAAATACTCCCCAATTTTGACATTGAAAGAATGCAATCAAATAATGTTGATCAGATATTATAAAGTATTTTCTTTTACATAAAGTATACCTATTATCTTATTCTATATTAAATTACACTAACAATTTTGTTTTGTTTTCAAAATCAATGCTGTATAATTTCAAAAATAAATCTTAAAAGCAAAATACAATAAATTCAAAATTTTCCTAGAAATAAAATTAATCGCATTTATTGTCAACTTTGACATTTAAAAATATTTAGAGTTTATTTTATTCTATAAAATTTTCTCTTCCATCTTCATTAATATTCTTTACTTTTATACAAGTGATAAAATAATAATCAGATTTTTTAAATAAGCAAAAAAGCTTATCAAAAACTGAAAAAATATTATTTATTTCAATCATTTATGTTGAAATTATTTCTTCTGATCCAACATTTTTACTTCTTAATGATTCTTTAATAATATCATAATTCCCATAATTTAAAGCTTGTAAATCATTTTCATCGCTTTAGATTATTAATGTATTATCCTTTTTTACAAAAAATATTTCTTCAGGCTCCAATATTGAAATTTAACAGTTAATTGTTTCACATAATATTATTTAGAACATGAAATTAGTAATTAGAACAAATTCAAACAAATATTGCATTTTTTATAAATTATTTAAATTAGTATATAAATACTTTAATTTTAATTAAAAAGAAACTATTTATTATTATTATTATCCATAAGAATTAAAAAATCGTCTACTCTCTTAAATAATTATTAATTCATTTTAATAATTTTATAAATTTATTTATTTTAAAATCAATCATAAGTTATTAATCAATCATAAGTTATTAATCAATCATTAGTTATTAATCAATTCATATACTTAGCACTTCTAGTTTTAATTACTAAAATATATTCAATTTATATTACAAATCAACTTTACAAATCTATTTATTTTGACAAATTTTATATAAAATACTATTTTGATTTTATTCTAAACTTTTTAATATATTAATTTAATTGTTGTTTAAATGCGAAATTATGATTTTATGTTATCTTCAAACTTTTTTTATAGATAGCTAAATGTAATTTTTATTCAGAATACTATAATTATTAATTATTCAAAATCTAAATAAAAACTTTAACTGGATTTTAAATTAATTTTTTCACTTTAATTATACATATATTAATTAAAATTTTATTTGTTGACTTTTGATAGAATATGGGATGTTTTTTTATTTAAAAACTAATCTAATTAATTTATAAATTATCCTTAATTTAATAAAAGTATATTTTAAGTAGTAACTTAATAAGAATGTACGAAAACTGAAATAAATTTTTATTTTTATTGAAATATTTCAAAATAATTGAAAATGAATAAAAAATCAATTACTTTTAGATAACAAAATGATTGTTTAATAGCTAAACTATTAATCATACTATACATATTTCTTTAACTTAAATTAGCATGGCTAATTCTTTGTCATCAAATTTTCTCGATTTTTGTTAGCAATGCATAAATAAGTGTATTATTATTTTAGATTTATTGTTAATTTATCTAATTCTTTTAAATTGAATATATGGATACCTCCTCTGTAATTATCAATTTTCTAATTCATCCTAATTTTTATTAGTTTATTTTAGAATTTCTGAAATTAACTCTTATATTCTTTTAAAAATGATATTTTGAAAATAAGATCTAGATAATTTTTTTCTTTTACTGTGTATTCATTCCTAATTAATACTAATGATAATTAGTTTTTATTTTTCTTCTTTTTCATTGTATTAATTAAGTTTTACCCTACTAATCATTTATAACTGAACTTTTTATTTTTGTTTTTTTCAGAATTCTATGCTGGTCTTATTTTTTTTTATGAATTAATACTTGCCTAATTTAACTTAAATCTATTATTATCATCATTTAATTAATAAAAATAGACATTATTTTTAATAGAATTTATTAAAATTTCATTTGTTCACTATTATTAGTAATTCCCATTATCTTATGAGGGTTTTATATTTTTAAAATTTAAAAGATTGAATTCAATTGTTTACATAATATTTCTTTAATTTGAATCTTATGTGTATAAATTCGAAGGCATTTCAAAATATTTTAAATATTATTGTAATTTCTTTTTCTTTTTCAAAACTTAGAGATCATTTTTATACAATTATAATAATTCTATTAAAATTACTGTAAAAAGTATAAATTAATGAAATAAAAAATTCTAAATATCTTTCTAAATTTAGTTTTTAATTTGATATTTTATATATTATATTGCCATAAAATAGAATTATAGTTGATATAATAATTTTTGATTATTAGGATTTATAAATTGTAAAGGAATAATTTTGTACAGGCCAGAATAAATATTGAAATTTACAGGTAAAATTTAATAAAAATTATTTTTCTCTTATAAAATTAGAAAATCAATCTAGATATTGAATAAATTTTTAGATAAGAAATTTATTTAGATTTCACAATTTAAAGGATTTTGAGTTTTATTTTTTCATTTGTTTAATGTCAAAATTTTATAATTGATGCAATTAATTAGAAAATATCTAAAAGTGATTTGATATTATATGATAATGGATATTTGAAAAATAATATATGATTAAAATGTAAATTTAAAACTTCTAATTATAATAAAATAGTTATCTATAATTATTTTAACTCAGATATTATAGTATCGATTTTGAGTTAAAATTAAGTAATACTAAGTTATTGATTGAATTTTTAGTTTTCCTATTTTTAAATTTTACATAATATTGGTGATTTGATAATTTTAATTAATTATTAATCATAATGTTTTCTATTCTTAAATCTTCAGTTGAAATTTCAGAACAAAAATAATTCCATTATGAACTTGATTAATAAATATCTATACCAGATGCTTGGTGTGGCTCAATTTCTATAAATTCTAATAAATTATTACTTTTTGCTGGATGTTCATTTAGAACTTTAATCTTTTAATTTAGTAAATAAACTAAATTATTAGTATCAATATTGGAAGAAAATTTTGCAATAAGTACTATATTATTGAAAAATAATTCAAAAGAAGCATTTAAAGGAGATTGTAAAGGGAATATTAAAATTACTTAAATAAATGGGTTAAATAATTATCGATTTTTAATTAAGTCTAAAGAACATAAAGATTGTATTACTCAATTTTTGATATCAAAAGATGAACAACTTTTTATTTCAAGTAGTATTGATGGAAATATTAAATTTTGGAATTCAGGATATTTGATAAATTGCATTTAAACTATAGAAAGCAATTTAGGTAGTGTTCTTGGGATAAGTTTGAATTAATCAGAAAATGAATTAATTGCATGTGGAAAAAAATAGATAATTTTAGTTATTAATAAATCAATTATAAATAAGTAATGGTATATATTTCATTAAATTGAAACAGAGTCTTATGGATATAGATTATGTTATATTTCAGAAAATGCATTTACTTTTCAACCTAATTGTCTTGGAAAATTGCAAATTTATTAAAAAAATCAACTATCCTTTTTTTATAACAATATAAATGAATTCTAAGTTAAGAGAAATTATATAGATTGTTTATTCCCATAATAATATATTCAAAAAAAATCAATATTAATCAATAAGATAGGAAATTTTATTTATATTATTAAATTCATAAATTAAACTCAAATTCTTTAAGTTTAAGTTATTGATTTTGAAACTTACAATATATATGGATCAATTAGTGATGATGCAGAATTCTTAATAACCTGGGATGATAAAACTGAGTTAATATCTATTAGAAAATTACAAGAAATTTGAATTTAATTATTTTCCTTCATTTTTAGATTTACTTTTGTATTCTAATTAATTTATTTAATTAATATTCTTAGAAATTACTTTCTTCAAATATTATATAAATAAATTTCATAGTAAAATATAAGGATTTTTATTTATTAATATGATTTCATATATTTTGATATATCAAAAAATACAGGAAAATATAGATAATTGGCTAAGTATTAATATTAGCAAAAATATTTATTAATTAAATATATTTCTATAAAAAGAATTAATTTTATAAAATTTGGAATAATTCTTCTTCTTTTTAAACTTTGAAATTGATTCTTATTGTTTTAATTGAAAATGTATTAAAGAATATAATCTTATATAGTTTAAAATGTATAATATGGAAGTTAGACTCTAAAATTAAGAATTGTTTTATGAGAAGTATCTATAATTTCAAAGAATAGTATTTATAGATTTACTTATAAAATTCTAATATATTAAAGATGATAGATTTTATAAAAATAATTATTATTATTAGTTTAAATGTTAGATTCAGTTTAATATAAAGGGAGATTCTCTGTGAGTGGTAAAATAGAAAAAACAATATCAGTCAAATTTTAACTTTATTACTTAGATTCAAAAGAATCAACTTTGTATGTGAAAATAAGAAATAAGACATTAAATGAAGAGGAATTTATGATAAAGGAAATGTAGAAAGAGTCATAGTCATGTTATTCTGTATAACTCGATTTAAAAGAAAATTGCAAATACAAATATTAATATGAGGCATTCAATAATATAACTTAAAAAAAGGATATAGAGTTAAAATTTAGAGACTTTGAATATGCTGAAAAAGATAAGTTTTAAATTGATTAATGGAATAAAGTTTGGTGTTTATATAGAATTCTTCCAAAAAGTGAGGATATTTTTTAAGCATATCATATTTCTATTAAAAATAATCAAGATGGAAATTATTTTGAATTAAAAAAATCAAAGTATATATTTCCTGCTAAAGACCATTATGAATTATTAGATGATAGTGAAATTTAAAAATTTAGATAATTTTCACTTAAATCAAAAGAAGATGAAACAGAAGAATTAAGTAATTAAATTGAAATTTAGAATATAAGTAAGTATAAAATGAATTGTATTTATGTTGAGTTTGATATGTAATTATTTTCTAAAGATAAATCAGAAAAAATTAAATAATTTTTGAAATCTTATGAAACAAATCAAGAATGGAAAAAATATAATCAAATTAAAAATTTATAACAATAAATTGAAGAATTAAATTAAAAACTATTAGAATAAGAAAAAAAAAATAGTGGATTAAATACATAACTAGTTAATGAATTAAAAAATAGTGATAATTTGAAAAAACAAATTTAAACTATAAATTTAAATCATCAAAAAGAATTGAATTCTCTCAATGTTAAATTTGAATAAGAAAAAACTACTGCCTTAATTCTTTAAGATTAATTAATTTAAAATATGACAAGAAATTTTTAAGAGAAAATTGAATAACTTTCAGAAAAAATAAAAATTTAAAATAATTAATATTTATCAATGCAAGATGATTTTGATTAATTTCAAAAGAGTGCTTCTAAAACAACGACAGAATATATATATAAACTTGAAGAATCATAAAAAATGCTTTAATTAAAAGAACTTTAATTACTTTAGATTAAAAATAACCATCTTAATAAAAATGAAAATTCTTAAAATGAAGAGATAATTATAGATTTATGTATTTAAAATGGTACATAAGATCAAATCAATTAGCTTAATATTTTAAAAGATAAGCTTCAATAATATGAAAAAAATTTTGGTCAAATGTCTTTGAAAAATGAAGAAATTGAATCTGAACTCTTAAAAAAAGGAAAAATAGAACATGGTCTTAAAAGAAAAATTTAAGAATAAATTGAAAACTAAAATAGTTGTATAAAAAATTTGTAAATTGCAGAAAAATAAGTTCAAGAATTAAAAGAACAAACTTTAAATGATGCTAAGAACAATCAAAAGTTGAAATAATTGTTAGAAAAAATTAAAAAGAAATGTTAAGATTTGGAAGTTTACAAAATTTAATATTAAAATTTGTTTCAAAAATATGAAGAATAAAGGGACCAATATTTATAATTAGAAATTGAAAAAAATAAAAATGAAATGGAATTTTAATAATTTAAAGAATAAAAATAACTTTAATTATAATCTATGGTATCTGAAAATGAAAAATCTCTAAAATAAATGTAAGATGAAACTTAAATATTATTGGAATAATAAAAAGCAGAATTATATAAGTAATAAAAATATTAACATGAGCTCTTTATGAAGAGTTCTTTAGATATATTAGATAGTTTATAAAATGAAATATTATACCCTTATTTTAATCATTAACTTCAATTTTCTCAAAATTTGTCATGTAATTTAAATAGTGAAATATAAAGTATTTCATCTTTAATGTTAAATAATTTTGAAAGCATAATAAATATAGCTGCAGATGGAATTAATATTATAACAAACAGTTCATTTAATCATTTGAAAATAGATTTAATAGATATTCATTAATAAATAATAGACGAAATTCAAGAATAAAAGAATTCATCTGAATAATCACCTATGACATAATTATTATAACTTATCAATTAATTCCAAAATAAATTATAAGAAATTTAATAATTTTCTCTTTAAGTAGATGACATGATTGATTAGGATTAAGATTAGATTAGATTAATAAATACTAATTGTTAAACCCTTGATAAATTATTAGATATTGTGATCAAGTAAAGAAGTATATTAAAAAGAAAAAATGATGAATTAGAAATATTCTGCAAAAATTAAGATATCATTATTGTAGCATTTAAACAATTCCAAGCTAAAACTTTGAGTGGTTTCTAAAACTAATTTATTCGAAGTGATTTAGAACCAAGTATTTGATTTAGATATAATATATATAGATTATTAAATATATTTATTTACAAGATTAGATTAAATATTTTAAATGAATATTTTCCTAAATCACATTAAATTACAATATTATCTTATATTTAATAAAGTATTTATTTCTATTAAGGTTTGAATCAATCAATCAAGATTCAATAATTGATGAATTAATCTATTGTAAAGATGTATTTATAATAATAAGATATTTCTAATTTACTTCCTATTTTTGCTTATAAGCATAGATATTTATAAAAATAAATAAATCTAGATTTTCTTTTAGAAATTGATTAGAAATTTTTAGATGTTTTCAAATTTATTAACTAAAATAGGCAACTTCTTATTATTGTTAAATTTTATTAACAATAAAAATAATTAAATAATAAAATTTGATGATTAATTTATAAGAAATAAAACCTCATAAGAATGAGTATGTTGCTATTTAAAAAAATATAATTTGGAAAACATGATAAATTAAATAGCTGAAAGAAAATGCTTTAATTTTTCAAAGACAAAAAAACAATAAATAAAAAATAACAATAATTAAAATTATAAGAAATAGATATGCTTGAATTTTCAACTCAAAGAGAGATTAGAAACTATAAATAAAAAATACTTTCAATTTGAATAGATATATCAATAAATCATATATCAAATATGAATATCTGAATTTGTAAAATTTGAAGAAAAATTATAGTAATCAGAAAATATTTGATGATATTAAAGTAAACACTTAAATGATAAATTAAATCTTCTGAAAGAGAATCTTTATATATTAATAATAAAATTTTGTTTTACGAAACTACAAATTCGAGTAAATTGTTAAAATTTTAAAATCATCTAAAGAACAGATTAAATAATTAATCAAAAAGCATATGAAAGATTATTTTGAAACTCTATTGTGAAAGAATTCTATAATAAACTATGTGTATAATTTGCAATAAAATTTTTCTGCAAAAATAGATAAATTGAAAAAGGAGTTGGAAAATTCATTACAAAGAAAAATAAATGTATTTGATTTTAATTTTTAACTAATTATTTCCTTTTGGGAATTAATTTTAAATAGCATTGTTAGAGTATTGAAATATTTAAAAGGAAAAAAATGGAAAACAGAGAAGAAATTACATTTAATTGAAAGATCTTTATTAATTAAAGAGAAGATTCTTTAATAAATACAATAAAATGGAGATATAGAAAAATACTTTAAAAATTGTAAGATCAATCATATAAGAACGGAGAATAGATAATTAATCTAAATTATATTAATTACTCTCATTCAAAACTCCCATTCTTTTTTAAAGAAGAAGAAACCTAATAAACTGAAATTTAAATATTCTTAATATTTAAAAGCATTGTAAAATATTTGTAAATAGTGATAATAAAATATTTTTTTAAATTATGCTATCAAATTTAATTAACTTAAATATAAGTTTTTAAAGCTTAACAATGCTCTTCTTATTAAAAATTAACTTAAATTCTTACCTTTAAAACATAAATAAAGATTTTTGAATCTCTATCTGCATTTAATTCAAAAATATTCATTATTTTCTTTTTTGTGTAAAATTTGATATTTTTAAATTAAAGAAAGTTTTATTTAAATTATTAATTAATGATTCTTAGAATATTCTAATATTATATCTATAATTACAATTTTTATATATTAATATTTACTTTAATTATTATAATAAAAATTACGCATTTTTATTCTAAACAATTATTTCTTAAGTTCCATATATAATAATACTTACATTGATTAGAAGATGAATCAGATAAAATTCTTATTTGAATAATATAATAAAAAAGAATCACAGTATTAAATGAATACTTTCTTAGAAGTTTAAAATTCTTGATATGTTTATAATATTATCAATTATGGTGTTTTTATATGAATAAAATAGTTTTATTATTTTCCTTTATATTAAGCAATTAATCATATTAGAATAGATTGATACTTATGATATAATACAAATGTGATAATATTTATGAATAGTCTTATTAATTATAATATAAATATTCAACAATCATAAAATCTCCTTTATTTATTTAAATAGTGATATTCAACAATTATTACAATGAGTGATATAATTGTTAAACAAATAAAAAGAAATTAAACAAATTCTCTTTATTTTTATTTTATGAACTTTAGGTGTAATTATTAAGGCATTGAAAGCTACTACTTGACTGAGGAATTCTTTGTTTATTTATTTTTAATTTATAGGCTTTTGTTTTATTTTTTTAAATAAGCTGAATTGAGCATCAAGCATCCTTCATACCTTTCTGTAAGTTTCTATCAACAATAATAAACAATTTAATACTTGACATTTTAAAAATTAATTTAATTGAGTTTAGAAAAGTTAATACTTTTTATCTTAGTTGTTATTGTTGATAATTATTACTTGCATTTATTTATTTTATGATTTAGCAAGCAAAGAGCTAAGAGTATAATCCATTATTTATTATTTATAAAGATATTAATTATAAAAAATTAAATTTACTGAACACCTTTTTATAATTAAAAAATATTAATTTTTTATTTAGATAGATTTATAATGACTATCGATTAATAACAAATTATTTTCTTTTTTTAATATTTCAAATTTTTTAATAAAAATTGAAAAGAGGGTTATTGTATTTATTAAAATCTATCTTCTAAACTATAATATTGATTGAAACATTAAAATAAAATAAATGTGCTTTATATTTAAATATAAGTTTTGCAAATATAAGATTAAACAAGCCTTTTGAAATTCAAAGCTATAAGGTAGTTAAATTTCTAATTATAAATCATTATATATGTTGTAAGAAATAATTGGCATTATCAACTTTTGATTAGAAATTAAAGACATAAGGATTTTCTCAATTTATGATTCAGTATAAAAATATTTTTTCGTAAAGTTTTAAAAGTGAGGTTAAATGTTGTAGAAATTTTAGAAAAATCAATATCCTAACTTTTAAAAAATGAAGATAATATAAAATTGAATCTAATCATCTATTTTGTATTTTATTTTTTCAATTCTACTTATAGTTCATTTCTTATAGATTATAAATAATAAATTCTTAAAAATTATTTAGAATTTTAAAAAAGAGAACTTTTAACTCAGACTTCAGAGCTTAATATTATAAAATATTTCTTAGATTACTTTGTTTCTTTATCATAATAGAATAATAAATCAAAATCTAAAGTTTATTAAATTAATATTAATGGATGGAACATCACAAAATAATAGAGATATCAATTGTATTTTAAGTAATTGAAATTTTTTACAATATTAATTTAGTTTAATTTTTATAGGATGATAATATTATGAGATCAGCCCTTTTACTTGTATTTTATTTTAGTTTTGCATTTAATTATAAAAATAAAATAAGGAATCCATTGAATGTTTTAATTCAAAATTGAGTATATGCATTACTATAGAAATATCTAAAGGCATCTTTTTTTGATTTAATAATATCATAGTTAATAAAATAATAGATTTAATATTTATTCTAACTTTTAAAAATATAAAATTGTAGAGAATTCAACTTTAATAAATATAATAGTTAATAAAATGAATTTTTTTTGAATTAATACATATAAAAAATATAATTTAAAGACATGGGGTGTCACATAATGAAATAGAATCAAGCAAAAAATAAAAAACATTTTTAATATAAACTTTCATCTCTGCATAAATAAGAAGGCAGTTTCTGTGCATTAGCAATTAACAGCAAAAATGATCTACTTGCTGTTGGTTCAGATAGCGAAATAAAAATATTTAACTTTAAAAGGGGATATTTAAAATAATTACAAGTAATTTCATTAAGAGCATACAATCTATCTCTTTTAATTTATTGTAAAAAGAAACCCTTTTTAATTTCTGCATAAGGTGCATCTTCATTAATGATTTGGAATTCAAGTCTAATATCAAATCCAAAATTCATATGTAAAATGATTGGACATTCTCAATAAATAATATCTATGACACTTGATCCAATATTGGAAGATCTCATTATATCTGGTTCTCATGATAACAATATTAAATTTTGGTCAATCTATAATAAATGGTTCTGTAAATAAACAATTTCTGAACATACTAAACCAGTTCTCTCTTTAATTATGAACTCATAGGGAAATTAATTAATCTCTTGTAGTTAAGATAAGTAGATCTTCATTATTGATAGAAATAATTAGACTTAATGGTTAATTAAATAAAAGATTCTATTACCAACTTATGGATATCGTTTATCATATATAACAGATAGTATTTTTATATTTCTACCAAATAGTTATTATGATGGTACTCATCTTTACATTTTTAAAATAAATGATTTAATTAAATAATATCAAAAATTATGTTAAATTCCTATCTAAGGAAAAAATTAATATTGTTACTATTACTTTCCTTTACTCTTTATTCAATCTAAAAATATACTTCTTATAAAGAATGGTTGCTATGTTAATTTATTACAAATCATTCCTTCTATGTCTTAAAATAATTTTATTTATTAATTAGAATAAACAATATAATTTTAAAATAAATATATTTATGGAACTTTGACAGATGATGGAGAGTTTTTAATTATTTGGGATGAAGAATCAGAATAAATTTAAATAAGAAAGTTAAATATTATTAAAAAACATTGTTTATATTCAAATGAATGATAAATAATTAATTTTATATTCACAATTTAACAACTCATAACTATCAAATTTAGTCTTAAAAAATTAGAATTTTGTATATAGCAATATTATTTATTCAATTTAAATGATACATAATAATTCTAAATTGTTAAAAATCAAAATAAATAATAAGCCCTCAATTCAGTCAAAGAATAGCTTTAACTTCATTAGTTTAATTAAACTAAACTAATATTAGTGTTTTAAAAGTAATTTTTCTATAAATTTAAATTAAGCTTATCAATTTATTGAATATTATATTATGAGATTTTAATTTTAATTTATTATAGGCATAAGTCTTTTATTTTAACTTATTGTGAGTAACTCAAGAAAATGTGAAATAGTTGAGATCGAATCAAATCAAAAGTTTATTTCTAAATAAATAAATGTTTTATTAATTGAAAGTGATCAAGATGAATTGCAAGATTTTAATAACAATAATTACAACATTGTTGAAGAATCATTAAAAATTTCTAATTATGTAGATGATAATCTAATTTCAACTTAAATTATTGAACATTTAGGTTTTGATTAACTTCTCTGTAAATTCATTAAATCTTAAATCTATGTTATCTCTTGCATTAAAATATCTAATTTTTATAAAAGGTAATCACTTAATTTTAAAGACTAAATTATACTAACATTAGAACTTAGCAATTTAGATGGTTCTATGTGTAATGAATTTTTTTTTAATCAATAATCTTAATTTCAAATTTTTTGTTTAAATAATTCCTATATAAACATTTACAGTGTAGATTTAGAACATATAATAAAATTAGAGTTATAGTATAAAATAGATTAAAGGTAATATGAACTGTGTAAAATAAAATATTTTAAATTAGAAGATAATCATTATTTAATATCTTTTTTTCAATGCAAAAATTGGGGTGTATATTCTTACATTAATTAAGATTTTAAGATTTTTTTGAATTATGAATTAGTTTTAAATGAGAATGCAATATAAATTTCATATTTAGAAAATATTAAAATATGTTAAACAACCCTTTTTTTAATTGTTGAGAATGGAAATTATCATTTTTTAATTAATAAATAGAATCAAGCTAAATTTTAAATATTCATTTCCATTTCTTAAAATTTAAAAAAAATTTTACTATCATGGAATTGTTTATATTTATATGAAGTTGAATATAATTCATTAATCAATAAAACTAAAATTTTTAATAGAGGATATTCATTTTAATATTCTTTGAATGGTCAACCTATTTATGTACAAACACTATAAAACATTCTCTTTGTCAAAACTCAAAATGAACTTCAAATAATTTATAATTAAAAAATCAAATAATCAATTAAAACAAATTCCTCATATTTTGTTTTTAATGATAAGTATAATTTGATATTTTAGCTTGATTAAATAAGTAATTACATAGTATTTTATAAATTCTCATACCCCAGAAATTTAATATAACCAACCTAAAAATATATTTTTTATATTTAAACTTCACCATTTTTCAATTAAAAAATAAAACATTGTAGCGAGTTTAAATATATTACATAAACTAATTCTAATAATATAACTTTAAAAATTATTAATAGTTGCTAAAAAACCTCATAATTATTATTGAACAAACAAGATTTGAATTTACCATATTAATATTTGATAAAGTTAGAATAAAAATATGAATTTAGAATCAATATATAAGATTAATATTCCTTTTTTTAAATTTGTCCCATTAAAAGTATTTATAAATAGGACTCAATTTTGGAATATTATTAAACCAAAATTAATAATAAAAGTTTTTCATTTGTAAAAACAAAAGAATACATATACATTTAAAATTGTGATGATATGCCTTAATTTAAAATTTCTACCAAAGAATGTGCAGTATTTTTTTATTAAAGTTAAGTTCTTTTATGGTATTAGAATAAAAATCTGCTTAAGCTTATAAATTTCTAATACGAAAAAAAATTAGAAATTAAATTTGATAGCAGAATTACAAATATTATTCAATTCTAAATGATTGTAATAGTTTTCACATCAAATAATAAAGATCCTTAATTAATTGATATGATAACTTAAATTAAAATAACATTGAAATCTAAAGTTTATAAAATTTTGAATAAATTAAATGAAATCTATCTTTAAGATAAGAAAAAATATGAAAATGAAATAATTTAATTTTTTTATTTCTCATAAGCAACACCATAATTTATTTAGTATCTCCAATATTTTATTTTTGAAATTCATACAAAAATTATTTATACTAGGCTTGATAATATTTAAATTGTTTTTATAAAAGAAATGATGAGCAAATAATTTTATATTTTGGGAATACATCAAACAAATAATTAAATAATTGATCATTATTTTGATTTTGTGTAAATTGAAATTTTATATAAAGTAAATTTAGATGATTATAACTTAATTAAACCTTTATAATATTAAATTGCTACTAAACATATAGCCATTGCCTGTCAAAAAGAAAATAAAATATTTGCTTTAATATTTGAAATAAGAATTATAAAACCTTTAAAATTGCTAAAAATTATTCAAATTAGTAAGAATAATTTTTTTTTTAGCGAAGAAAACTTTTTTTATTATGATTCTTTCGGTGAAATCATCATTATAAATATATTAAATTTTGATATTTAACTAGAAAATCCTGTTCCATAACAAAGTGATCATGTCACTAACACTGAAATCTCATTCTAAATTATTTCTACTATTTAGACAGAGCCAGTTGTAAATTTAAGATTCTAATTAAAATTCTATAATGAGTGTTTTGGATTATTTCAAAAAAGTGATCATTTTTAACTGAATTAATCAACAAATAATTAACCAAAAATTTTAATATCCAATTATTTTTTTGGTCCAATTGATTAAATAAAGATTGTAGATAATGATAAGACTCAAATTTATGGTCCATTATTACTATCAGATGATAAAAATGACTTAAAAGAAATTATGATAGAGAATATCAACTTTCCCTAGAAATTTCATTATCTTTAAACTTAACCAAAAAAACTAATTTTTTACTATAACAGTTAATATAGTTTAATTTTTAATTAATACAAAGAAGTATTTTTTAATGTAATATTTCTTGATGAAGAACGAATATTGTTTTTATTTTTTTCAGAAGTAGAAAATGAATTGATAGGAATGATTTATTAGATTAAAAAGGATAGCTTAAATCTAATTATAGAACCTATTTTTGTGACAAATATAACTTTAAATAGCAATTATGATTAATATCAAGTAATTAAGACAGGCAATCTAATTGTATTTAAATCTGAAATCCCTTTAATAATATATTAGAATTTTAATTCAAGCATTAAATTAATAGAGAACCATTTGAATATTCTTGACATCTTTAAAATACAAGGTTATAATAATTTATATATATCTATATCCAGAGTGAATTCTGAAGGAGATTTTTTATTCAATATTCTTTATTCTAACTAATTTGAATTAATTGTTAATAAAACTGCAATACTTTATTGGGATTAAATTCTAATTGAATTAACAAAATTTATTGATATTGATAACTATAGATCTTTAAATTATTAGAACAAAAGTAATATTTTGGAGTGCAATATCGAAGAATAAATTGCAAAAATAGTAATTATTCAGACTTTTAGATAATACTCTGTTTTAAGTGACATTCTTTTTTATTTGAACAATTATTCTATTTAGTATATCCCATAAAAGTTTTTAAGAAATGATATCGATGAAGAGATTGTTACTTTGGAGTTATATAATCAAAATATTCTATTTTTAAAATCGTTTTCAAATTCTATTTACTTTTATGATTTGAATTAGGATTCTAAAATTTATGATTATATCGGAAGATAAGACTAAAATAATTATTCTTATTATTAATTGAATACTACCCATTTCTTTATATTTTAGAGAAATACAGACAAGGATTTAATATTTATAGGAGAAATTGGGTATAAAATTGATGTAAAAAATAAAACTTTAGGAGATAAAACATTTACATTAGTTGCTGAAAATAAAGTATCATAAGCTCAATGTAATATAACCATGATAAATAATGATGATCAGAAAGAAAACTATATAGTTTTCAAATAAATAATGATAATATTTGGAGGGATTATTGTTTTTTATTTTATAATCAGAAGAATGTAATTAAAGCGTAAGCAACTAAATAATTTAAAACAGAGTAGAGCCTATTTCAGTGATTCTTAAGAAGAATCATAAAATAATGAATGATTTTATAATATATTTTAATTATAAAAACTACTTAAATAGTTTTATAACCTTTATTGCTGATGATTTTATTTTATTAACTTATTTGATTTTTAAATTATGAAGAAAAGTTTGCTTTTATTATAAAAAGATTTAAATAATAGAATTATTTCAATAAAAAAATGAATCTATAAAGCTTAATAACTTTTTTTTGTTAATATTTGCTTATACATTAGTTGATTTAATAGGAGATATAAAAATTTTTCATAAATAAAATATGAAACAAAATTTTGGGTCAAATTTAGTAGATAATGATTATATCTTAACCAGTTTATTAGTTTTGTACTAATAATTTAAATTAAACTTGTCTGAAATTGAATATAGAAAGTTAGATTACAGATTATAATTGCAATAAAAATGCATAATAACATTGAATAAATATATAAAGTATAATTTGAGATTGTCATCCTTTATTTGATTTAATGAATGAGCTGAATTGAGAAAAGATGAATGTAAAGAGTGGTAATTATAAATAATGTATGATAGGGATATAATTATAATTTAAGATTAAATATTTAACAGAAAATGTAATATACGGCCCCATTAGAGAGAAGACTTGTATTTTAGCCATCTTAATAAATAATGCCATTAATGCATAGAAAAGAGAACATTTTTTCTCCTTTAAGAATAAGTCCATCAACATAATAGCATTTAAGTCCTTCATAACATTAATTTTAGAAAGGAAATGAAGTAAATTAGAAGAGAATGAATAGTAATAATGATTAAGAGAAGGAGAAGGAAATAAAAATATTAATATAGCATAATTAAAGGATGAAGGATTAAATAAATTAATAAGCAATAGATTATGAGAATTTGAAACATAGATATGATAAGATGTATTAAGATTAATTAAGATTAATAAATGAATTGGAATAGATGTCAAAAGTATCGGAATAATAATTGAAAGAGATAAAAATAAAATAAGAAGTAATAAAAGATTAGTAGCATCAATTAGAATAGCAAAGTCATAGTAAAAATAAAAGTTAGGATGAGAGTTATTAATTGAGATAATAGTTATAGATAAAAGATTAGGAGATAATAAAGTTAAAGTAAATATTAGAGGAGAAGAATATGGAGAATTAGGAAATGAGGAATACATTGAATACAATAAATTAGAAAGTATAATTTATGACATAGCAAAAAGATTAATAATATTAGATAATAGATAAATTTAATAAAGAATTATAGGATGAGATAACTTTGAAAACATAATAAATACATGCAACAAGTTAGAATTTAAGTTAATCATAATAATAGGTGAATTAATTGAGATTTGAGGTAGATTCATTGAAAGTGAAATTGTAATCATAATAATAGATGATGCCTTTGTAATAATTGTAATAGAAATATATAATGCTTTGTATGGAGAATGATAGATTACATAGTGTAGTATAGAAGGAGTATGAGGTAAAGAGAGGGATGGAATAATAATAAGGGAAATAGGAATAGGAGATAGAATAATTAAAGAGTGAATTGAAATAGATATCAGAGGAGTTTAATAGATTATAATAGGGTTTAGTTTATGAATAAAAGAATATGTATTTGATAGAGAATTTGAAGAATTAGTTAAATTATTATATAGAGGAGAATGCAAGATTAAATGTTGTTCTAAGATAATAATAATAATCAAGAATATGAATATAAATAGATTAAATATTACTAAGATAATTATAAATCAATATATGTTATGATTGAAGTTTTCAGGGACAACTTAATTATCTAGATTATATAATTCAATTTTTTCTTGATTTTCAAGTTCATCGACATCTAAATAATTGAAGGCAAAGCCAGTATTAGCTCTATTAATGACTTTGACAACTTAATTATTTTTATTTGGTTCATGAAAGAGTGGTAGATTTTTCTTTTTGGATGCAATCATCATTTTTTTAAGTTTTAAATTAATAGCAGAATCAATAGTTCCTATAGTAACAATTACTAGTATATTCCCAAGATGGAAATTAGGAGTAGCAAATAAACTTAAATAATAATATAAATATAACAAATACCTTTCTAAAACAACATATGCTTCAGCTTAACTGATATTATCTAAAATGATCCAGGAGATCAAATACGAAATCATACTAAATGCTATACTTCCCTAAGATAGATGAGAATGTATACAAGCAAAGCTGGAGTGTAAACATTTGAGAATATAAGTACTTTTAGATTGCATACTACAATAACCAATCCAAATATCATAGTGCCTTAAGCCCACAAATGTTACATATATCCATGATCGTCTATGAAATTGGCTGAAATACAAAAGGTAGGAAAAAAACAGATTACAGATGTCTACCACAAGCCTTAAAATACCCAAAACAGAAATATTTTAAGATTAAATAACTTACCTTATGGTCCTTATTCATAATAATTAAATTAGGTATTCTCAGTTAGAACATCTGCTTCATGTTCTTCATCAAATACTCCATAAATCATAATAGGTAATGCACCATATAATATATTAAATAATTGATATATGAAAGTGTCATATAAAGACTATGCTGAATACATTGATAATATTCCATACCAAAATTAAGGTAGCACAACCAATATGTTTTTATAGAATGTATAAAATACCAAACTACTATTCCTTCTATAACATTCTCTCCCATGATAAAATAACAATCTTCTCAATTCTTAAAACTCCTATACACTATAATCAGCTGCTCTTGATGCTTGTTATCCTTCCACTCCTCTAATACCTACGCCTACATGAGCAGCTGTTATCATATTAACATCATTTGCACCATCTCCTATTGCCAAAGTACACACATTCTTTTATTAATTTCTTATCAATGTTACTACGTCCTATTTCTATTTCGGACTTACACGACAACATAATACTACATTACATGATTCCCCTATCTATATCATCTTCTTTCTTATATGCGGTTTTAATGAATGAAGTAATGCATCTCCTGATATTATCAATGCATGTTAATCATTTGGCTATTTACTTATCAAACCTATTGTCTCCGTTAATTTCTCTATTACTAATGATTCCATCTTCTCATCTACTACATGTTAAACTAAATCATTTGTTAATAACTCACAAGAATATCCGATATTTATTGCTGTCTCTATCTTATCACCTGTTAATACCCATACTTTTATTCCTGCTTACTTTATTGCTGCTATTGTCTCTGCTACATTCTATTACAATTTATCTTCTATTGCTGTTGCACCTAATATTTCATAATTCTTCTCTAATTCATCTTATAATGTTTACATTCTCTCCTCTCTATTCTCCAAACTCTATGCTGCTTCTTAATATCTCTTATTCCATTCCTAATATGTTTATATATCTAATAATCTTTTGCATAAAACTAATGTTCTTAAACCTATCTTCCCATATTCTTCTAATTTCTCTTCTAAATTATGATAATCTTCACTCTACAATTCCTTCTCTGACAATTTTGTCTCTGATAACAATATTGAATCAGCACCTTTTGAATATAATATTATTTCCCTTGATTTCACTATCTATACCAATATTGATTATCTCTTTCTCTGAGAACTAAACTCAAATATCTCCAATAGTTAAAATTCCAATATCTCATCCTTTAATTTCACTCTCTTTATTCCATTCTCATCTGTACCCAAAAATTCACATCCTACAAATCTTGCAAAATTCAGCAATGCCAATTCATCTGGAGATGTTGCATTATAAATTAATTTATTATCTTTCACATCAGCTATTACTGTATGGCAAATACTAAGCATAACTAAACAATCTTTCACTTATTTGTGCATCTATTGATTCTCATCTTTTAATGCCTCTATTAGCTTTCTATCTCGAAAATCTACATTTGTTACTTGTGGATAACTTAGTATTTCTGCGTTATTTATGTAATTCTCTTAATTTTCCTTTACATCTCCATAATTTTAATTGCCTCTTATTAGATTTATTTAATTTCATACATAATTATTTATTTAAATTCCATTATATTACACGTCAGTGTACCAGTTTTGTCCGAAAATATATGTTCAATCTAGCCTAACTCTTCATTCAGATTTGAAGATTATACTTTTGGTTAATTTAATTTTTCATCCAAAGTTATAAATTTGCCTTATACAAATTTAACCATTTCTAAGGTAACTAAGAGTGAAATAGGAACAAAATTAGTAAAGATGAGAATCCAATTACCGAATCTAACAAAAAAGTTATATGCTATGTTATATTCATCATCAGATGTTTGTATATCTAAATAACTTAAAAAACTTCTTTTATTATAAAACGAGATAGCATAAACAATGGATCCAATAATACACAACATCAATTGAGTGATAAAAATAATGAGTATGAATTTCTGCATTTAGGTTTCCAACTTACTTCTTTTTGATCTAGCTTTAGTTGAATTCATAATAATTTTGGTATCTCTTCCAGTGTATGTTACTAATCCAAAGACATACTTAACATTTCTCAAATTACATCCTCTAAGCATGAAATTATTGAAATTCATAGCAGAAACTTTTGATTGTATTGTAGTGGTTTCTCCAATGAATTAATAGAGATAGGTTGTAGGAGCTTAGTATTTTAAAACAATTCTCTTATCTTCTTAACCAAAGCAATCATCTGAGATGAAAGTTTATAATAGATCTATATGTACATTCTTTTATTTAAGATTAGTTTCTCCATCAAGAGATTTAGTTTCAACATAGCAGATTCCCTTCTATTCACTACTTCTCAGTATCAATATATCAGCAGGTACAACTTCATCTTGATGAACTTTGATAATTTAACCTACATAAAGTGAACTTGAAGGAATGCTCTCAAATTTATAACCATCATAAGTCATAATAGGTTATCTATTTTCTTCATTATCAGATTTACGACGTTTGTAATCTTCATAGAAATCCTTGGCTCCACTAATCAGAATAATGAAGCCTAATGGAAGATAAATTGTAGGAACTCCTGAACTGATTGAAACTTCTGGAATCATTTAAAGTGCCCCAATAATCTATTTATTTGCATATTATTATTACAACAAAGTAAATATTTGCTAATTTAGAGAATTATTCAAAAAGTTGTTTAGGAATGAAGTTGAGTATTGTATATTTACTGGTTTGAATTGAATTATTAGGTAATTCATAATCTGGTCGATTTGAAGTTATTTTTCTATTTTTAGATTGGAATCGTTATACATAGCTTCCTTTTGGATTTACATTCTCATATTTGTAATCTATTAGATATATCAGAATTGATGTATACCAAATAGGCTCTAATATTCATATTATTTATCAGTCATTTTAATTTATTAATAATTTCATAAATCATAATCATCATCATAAGGTTCATCTTCACTCATTTCTTTTTGTTTACTAGTTGAATTCTCATCATCAAATATGAATTCAAAATCTAGATTTCCAAATTTTTATTCAAGTCTTTTGAAACTATACAATCCATTAGACATCATAGCAGAGTATATTAAATAATCAAGATTGGTAATAGCTTCAAATCCATATTTGTCAAGTGTGTTTTTAATTTTATCTTTTTAGACAAAAACATCACCTTATAATTCTAGTCTTTCTTTATCATTAAAACCTAGAATGGTTTTTAAATCCATATTCTTAGAATTCTTTAAGAACTATAATAAACTTTAATAGTCTTTGAGATATTTATCTCTTTTTAAAATTTCATCAGTAGGAGTATTGATTTCAAGAAATCCAGAATTAGGAGCTATTTTATTAATAAATAAAATTACCACAAATAACTCCAATGTCCCAAAATATTTGTTCTTAATTAATTATTTTAGGAACATCTACTAATTTCAATTCTTTATTGGTAATAATATAGACTTTTAAATGTTAAGGATGAACATAATCAGGTTCAATAATATCAGCAATAATTCTATATACTCCTTTTTTTGTATTTAGATCATGAACAATAATTCTTTAACATCCAGATTCATCATTTAAATCATAAAGAACATTTTAATGACTTTAATCAATTTGTACATTATCAGGTAGAATCATTTTAATATCAATAGGCATAACTTCAACATTAGTTTAAACAAGAATCATAACTGAGTTTTTATCATCTAATTATTGAATTAATGGGAATGACAGTTCTCTAAGTTGATATAAGTTCATTTTAGATTAGGTGGTACCATATTCTTCAACAATTGGAAAGTATCCTTCACTAAAATAAATATAAGATATTATCATACGTTTAGATAACCATTTTTCCTTCCAAGACTCCTTATAAAATAATCCTACAAGTTCCTTCTTAATCAGTTACATAAGTTTATGCTTATTTGGTGGATTCTTCATTTAAGATAACTTAGACACCTTCAATAGGTTAATTGGTATATGGATCATAAATAAATACTTAGGTAGATTTATATCCTGAGATAGGTCTATTAGGATTGGAGACAGCTTCTTATTTAGTTGGTTCCATATATTCAGGTTATTCATATTATTACATAGATTATGATTATGATTTAGGTTTAGGTGGTAATTATTATTATTATTATTATTATTATTATTATTATTATTATTGTTATTATTATTATTATTGTTATGATTATGATTACTATTTGCTCATTTGTTATGAAGATTGATTAGTATTACTACCTTATTATGATCTTTAAGCACTAGTAGGTCTAGCACTACTAGGTTTTTATAAAGGTTATAATTATTTAGCTGATTAAGGTGGTTTGATTGGTTAAACATCATTTGGATCTAATTCGATAATTAATTTGAATTCATTAACACCTTAGACAGCATCAATATTTTAAGTTAATTCTTTATATCCTCTTTTAGAAACAGAAAGAGAATATGAATTAGGTTCTAAGATGGCTTCATATCTACCAGGTTCAATTTCTCTAGATAACATACTTTCTTATGTTTAAATATTAGTAATAGTGATTTTAGCTTCAGTGATAATGGATCCTTATTAATTGAATATTTTAATATCTAAATAAGAATGATTTTATTTTCTTAATTTGATAACAACTTGAATAGTATCATTACTTTATTCAGCCATTTCTACCATATTCAAAAGTAATTATTCATTAAGATAATCATTAGATTCTTAAACTTCAACTACATACACATCTACGGGTACATCTGGTAATTTGATATATCCTTAATTATTAGTTTTGACAATTATTTTTCTATCTTTATTATTAGTTCTATTAGTTCTTTTAGTTTATGATGAAATTCTAGATACACTAGATTATGGTCTATCTTATCTATGAGGTGTTAGTGTAACTTCAATATTATTAAGATTGCCAATAAAGTTTTCACCAAAACTAACATATATTTCTAATGGAGCAGTATTTAAATAATCACTAACTCTTTCAATAACTTCACCATAATTAGGCCACATCTTAGTACTCAATTTTGAAAATACTAATCCTTTTTTAACTTAATCTCGATTCTTAGAACAAACTTAAACTTCAAAGGCTCCAATTCTTCTTTATATGTATAATGTATCTATTGAATAATCATGTGGATCATAAATTAACGGTTTCAAATAAACTTTAGCTGTTGGATATTATTAAATTAGTTCTTATTTTAAATTCGTGGCAAATGTATAATATTTCTCTTCATCATGCCTAGTCGATCCTGCATGTTGACTACAATTTGTACTATTCATTCTAATTTAAATCAATACCAATATTCAATTGTCACTACTAAATCTCCATTATATAGATTCTCAAACTCTTTAAACTTTCTAAATTCATCCTTCTCTTACATTTACTAAATCTCTTAGTTTAATTCTGATAACTCCTTAAACTTTTTCATTTTATTATTCTTCTAATGTATTACCACCAGTCCAGAATCTAAATGTTCATACTTTGGTAGCTAATTAAAAATACCTAATATATTATATTTTCAAAATCTACCTGGAGCTATCCAAGCTTTAGCATGCACTTTCGGATCATAATGATTATCTCGAAGACGAGAATTTGTTGCTGCTGATTGAACTCTTGTCTGTTTCATTTTAATTGTTTAATAACTATATCAAATTTTATTCAATAATTCACATTTAATCAATCTCTCTCTTTAATATCTTCTTTATAACTAAATATTTCTATAACATCATCTCTCTCTTTCCTTTTTTTATTGTTCTCACACTCTCTCTATTTTTATAAATTTGTATCTATTCAAAAAATATATATTGTTTTATTTATTTCAAAACTGTTATAAAATACTTCTCATCATTATATTTATATCACTCTTACATATATAATAACTTGTCCACTCATTATTTTTCAAACCTCCAAAATTTATACATTCTAGATCAACTACTTTTATACTTTCCCTCATCTGTTTTAACCACATCTTTTTACTTATTCAAAATTAATATTTCTCTAAACATTCTTTTCCTATTCATTACTACAATCTCCAAAATAAAGCTTATATTCAATTGTTTTATATTTATATCACCTATCATCCAAATTATTTTTATTTCTTTATTTACTTTTTACTCTCTCATCTTTTTCTATCTATTCCTAATCTTATTTCATTTAAATTATTATTTCTTCTATTTTATATGCATTTTTGATTCTTTACATTCTCATATACGCAATTTCATTTATTATATAATTAATATTTGTATAAATATTTTAGTTTTGCTCATAAAATTTAAAAATAGTAAGTAACTCAATCTTTTCTTTTATTGCATTAATTATCATTATTTGATGGATTAGATGAATGTTTCTTTTTTTACTTTTTGATTTTCTTTTTTATACATTCTTCCTTCTATATTCTTTCGTTTACTTCATATTTTGAGTAAAATTGAAGAGGACTAGAAGAATATGAAGAATGTGATTCTAATAAGCAAATTCCACAATCTATACGATACAACAATAGATTTAAATAATCTTCTAATTCTGGGAATCCTAATGTAATAATTATAAAATATTACCATTAGTCTAAAATGAACTCAATAAGATTTAAAGAATACTTGCTGTATCAGTATCTAAATAGAATGTCTTCTCTAAGTGCTTAACTTGATCTTAATCAACTTCATAGATATCATTCGAAAATATGATTCTAAGCATAGATTTCATAATATCATTTTCTTTATTTTTACGTAAAGCACATTACAATTAGTAGATGGCTTATTGAAACTAACTCATAATAATAGCTAACTCCATCTGTTATAAATTATATATTAATATAATAATTAATAATTCTATTGATAATAATTGTATGTCTCTCTTTATTGGGATAGATAATTTGAAGAAATAAAAATAAATATTATTTTTAATATGAGACAACATCTTTTATCAGAACCAAACTTTATGACTTGTCCTAGAATAAATGAGAGAGGAGAATAGTAAAGATAAAATCCTTACTTTTACAATAATTATTTCTCTAATCGACATATTGATTGTTAAGGAGAAGCTTATGATAAAAGAGATCTAAGTAATGCAAGTAAAGATAAATAATTGTTAAAACCTGAAACTGTTAGATAGAATAATAGATTGAAATCAAAACCTGCAGTAACGAGATTGATGAAGAAATAAATAATCTCGAATTTTATAGAGAATAAGAAACTATTTTATAGTGTGACACCAATGTAACCAATTTATGATCAATTTAAATAACGAAATGAATAGAGAGAACGAGATCGAAGGTTTTAGAATAAATATTTTGATAAGAGTTATAAACATCATTTGAGTAGAGCAATTCAATATACACTTTAATAAGTATTAAACTTTCTTTCAATGGATGATGTCTTTAAAGTGAGATTAGATAGATAAGATTATGATAGATATTTGAGTAGATAACCTAAATTACTATAGAATAGTGTAACTTCTTAGGATTTGTTGATGTTGCAATAAAATTAAATGGAAAATGAATTAACTTCAAATAGAAAGATTTAATTAATAAAGAATGTATTTAATGATCCTCACTTTGATGCTAAAGATAGAGAAGTCTTATATTAAGTTTTAAGATTTCAGATATGTCAGGCCTAAAAACAAGTTGCAAAATTAGAAAAAGCTAGTATGGGTATTAAAGGTTTAAATAGATTTTAAAATAAAAAAGAAGGTCATTTGGAATAATTGGCAATCATTATTGATTTTTTGTAAAATAATTATGAAAAATTAGTTAAATTACTTTGATAACAATTATTTCAAATTGTGTTATTATAAATAAAGTTATCAAATAGAACATATGCAGCTTAAGGTTTCCAAAATGGTACCTCATGTCCAGCTCCTCTTACACTAATAAATCTTAATTATTTATTAAATTCCCAAGTTAATCCCCCAACTTATCTTTATTTTGGTTTCTTTCCTTCAATATACCAAGCTCTCCATGGATCACTCTCTTAAAGGTTTTATTCTTTAACCAACATTTAAATCCAATCTAAAGTTCCTGTTATTGGTACATTGCTATCAACATCTCCACTGTAAATCCAAATCTTAAGTCCATAATGTAGAAATTGAGAATAAAAACGATATGATCCTTATTCATCTTCTTTGAAATCTAAACTTGAACTACAAGATCCCCATTTCATATGTTTGGCATGTATAATATCCTATACAGTTTTGTTATTTAACATAAAGTAATTGCCATATTCATAATTGCATGGTAGTTCGGTAATTCCTTTTAAATGTAAGAATTTCTTATGTTTATTTTAATGATTTCTTTTATTTTATCCATTTCCTTATTAAACATCAGGATCATTATGATAGCATTCACCCAATAAGTTATTAATATCTACTCTAGAATATTATATTTTCGCAAGTAATTATTTTTATAATTCTATACATCTTGGAGAGATAAAATCTAAACATAATTATTGATAGTTTTATCTATTGATAATTAATATATAGTTTACTTGTCTTCTAGACTAAGTAATCCTCTTTAGAAATAAATATTAAATTAATATTTGCTAGTGAATAAAGGTAACTATTTTTAATCTGTGCATTCAGAACCTAAAGTACATCCATTTCCAATTAGAATTCCTTTAAGATTGATAGTATTTTTAGATTAATTAATAATTAAAGATGCAAGATATGGAATATACATTCCAGCATAAGATTCTCCTCCAATATATAAAGGTCTATTTTCATAGTTTGGAAATTAAACAAAAAAATCTAATAGAGCATCTAAAGCATCTTAGGCAGCAGATGCATCATTTTAATATTTAGATGGATTTGAGAATCCAACTCCCTTTGGCAATTCAAGAAAGAGTAAATTAGCTTTTTTATTCCAAGAATATGGATTGATAAATGACTAGATAGAATAATTGAGAATACTTCATTTGATAAAGGTTTGAATTAAAAAGGACCTATTTCATAGAAATTTCCAAATAATGAACTACAACCTGGTCCTCCTTACATCCACATAAATAATGGATCAGAATCTGGATCAGATTAACTTGTCATTAATTAGTAATATATTTGATTGTCATTCAAATATCCACCATACCATTTATGATTATAATCTTATGGTAATTGACTAATTTTCTCATTTATGATTTCTGAATAGCCCACCAATGCACAAACTAAAATTAAAAAATAACTCATCTAACTTATTATTTTATTTATTATTATATAATAATATTCTCTCATTTTTATTATTCTTCTTCTAATCTATTTTATTATTGATGTATGTTTCTCAAATCAACACCCATTTTTATTTTAGCATTATTCCTATATTTCTAATTTCTCCATAATAAATGATTTATGATTCTTTTATGTTTATAACATCCAAAACTATGTGTTTTTCCTTCTCTCAGATCATTTATTACATTTTAAACTAATTCTTTAGTTTCTATTGTATAACTTTCCTTTTTATTATTCATCATATCTGTATTCACACTCAAAGGAGTAACACTCAAAAAATCAATATTTTTAGATGTTAAAGCTAATGATTATGTAAAATAGTTAGTAAATGCTTTAGTTCCACTATAAACACTTAAAAATGGATTAGGTAAATATGCTTATCCAGAAGATATTGTTATTACAGCAGATTTCTTATTTCTATTTTATAATTTATTTATTAAAACTCTAGTCATCATAAGTGTTGATAATGCATTCACTCTTAACATCATAAATGAATCTTCCATTCTTTATTATTCAAATTATCCAGCTTCTCTTACTCCAACATTATTTACTAATAATGAAATATCCAAATATTCAACCTATTAATAGATCTTATTATAAAATTCTTCTGTATATCCATCATTGAAATCAGCTACTATAAACTTTGTCTAAACTCCAAAACTTTACAATTCTAAACAAACTTAATCCATTTTTTTTTAATTTCTCCCTACTAAAGCAATATTGAATTTCTATTTTGCTAATTAAATACAAAATTCTTTCCCAATTCCATCTGATCCACCTGTAACTATTGCCCAAGATTCTTCTCCATATCTACCTATTAGATTTCTTCTTATAGAAGGTGTCAATGCCATCCCTAATTATGAAAATCTTCTTAACAAGTATAAACATCCTTTTATTTTTATACATCTCTATATCTACCTACTCCCATCAAAAATGTTTTTAACTTTCTCTTTCTGTATATATGTTGATAATATTTGTGAATTAGTTTACTGTGAATCGATACCAAAAATTAAAACCCTCTCTTTACTAATTCCATATTTCACAATGTTATATAAATAATATATATATCAAAATATCACATTCTCATTCAAATTAATTCAATCAAAAAATCCAAAGAAACTCTCAACTCACCTATATCATTTGAAATCTCTAAGCATATCTTAAATCATCATTAAAATTTTTAACTAAATTTCTTAAGAACAAATATAACTAAAATATTAATTGTCATTGAATCCAATTAAAAATTTAACTCTTAAAACATCCTTCATTAATTTTTATTAAAACAACAATCAATAAAATTCATACAACATGAAAATAATCTCTTAAAAACATTAATAAATATGTTTCCTAAATCAAAAAATATTAGAATAAAAAGAGACACTACCAAAAACAATAGAATCCATACTAATTTTTTTTTTAAAGTAAACCGTATTTATAGTATTTCCTTCATTTCATTTATATATAAAACTAATTTAAACTAATAAACCTTATAATCATCGACTACTAGAAAAAAATCACTTACAAAAATACTTTTCAATTTATTTTTCCATATTAATAATATAATCAAATATTTATTAGAATACATCAAGATTTATGGTAATTTAATAAAAATTTTTTATTAAATTATAAGTTTCATTAAAAGGGGATACCAATTACATTCATTTGTAATATTATTAATTTGTAGAAGCTATTCATTCTCTAAAACTGGAATTAGATATTAATTTAAAAAAGTCTTAAGAATGTTTGATATCAAAAAATTTATCCTAAAAACTTACTTCTAAAACTAGATTATTATTTTATTTTCTAATTAGTAAAAAAGTCATTCAAAAATATTCATAAAAAATATAAATTTCAGTGAAATGGAAGGATAACTTGAATTATTGATTTGAACTTATTATTTAGAATAAAAGATAAGATGCATGCCATTTATTTTACTAGAGAGTAAATCATTTAATTTTTAATTTGTTGTTTTTTCATATTAATATTATTAATAATATTTAAATGAACAATTCAAATCGTTATCATTCAAATGATCCAAATTAATAACTTCAATACAATCAACCATTTTCAAATTAACAAAATCCTTTTGATCCTAATAATAATTAGTAATAACAATTAGTACATTAAATTGGAAACATGAATCATGTTGCATTAAACAATCCATATGAGACTGATTACAAAGGATTAGTAAGCTCTGCTAATTCCACTATTAGAGCTGGATTTATTGCAAAAGTCTATGCAATCATGAGCTTTTAACTTGCAATTACATTTCTGTTAATTTTAGCATCCTATTATTTTTAAAATGTTAGAAATCTCATAATTGTTATCAATCCAGAATCTGTTTAATATACGCCATTCACTATATTTTGCTTTTTTATTGCCCTGGTTGTAGAAATTGCAATCTTTTGTTGCAGAAAAGTCTCAAGAAGAGTTATTATTTTTTTAAACATATTTAGGTACCCCTAAATTACATATTGCTCATCATCTTTACTTTATGTTTTAGTACTCTTGTAGCTGCTCCTTGTATTGTTTGCTTTTAATTATTATCAAATGGAGGTAAATTATCAATTTTCAATATTTCAAGTTTAATTAGTAATAATTGCAGCAGCAATTACCTTGATAATAACTGTATTGCTTACAACTTATGCATGGCAGACTAAAACCGATTACTCAGCTTCAGGTTGAATAATTTATTTATTTAAAGGTCAGTTTTGTTTTATTTTAAGCATAAGCTTATTGATGATGTGCATTATCGGTTTATTTATTAGAAATATTTGGTTCCAATTGTTTATTTGTACTGTGAGTATAATCATTTATGGAGGCTATATAATTTATGATACATAACTTATTGTTGGAAATCATGTAATTTTTTTTTTATTAATATATAGTCTAATTACTTAACTGTAGATGATTATATTATTGGTGCTATGTTATTATATATCGATATTGTGATCCTGTTTCTAAGAATACTTGAAATTTTAATGATTATTTTTGGAAAAAACTGATGAATTAAATACATCAAGGCATATTATTAATAATTTATTATTCTAATTAAAATTATGTCATTATTTTATGGTCAAATTTTAACAGCTTTATTTAAATTTTACTAATAAACAGAGATATCCTCTTGATTATGAAAAAATGTTTGTTTTATTTTTTTTTAAATTCTGTTTTTTTGAATATAAAGTGTATTTCTTAAAAAATAGTTTGTTGAGAAAAACAGAAACTTATTAAAAAATAAAAAAGATTTTATTTGATTATTTAGGTATTATTTAATTTAATAAAAAAATGTCTATTATATAAAAATAAATAATTTATAT